TTTTTTAAATAATTCCAAATTGTGTTTTCTCTCCTGTGGCTTACGATCCCCATGTAAGCAAACACAAGAGTATCGCTGTTGGCAACGAGATTTTAGATAATGTTCTAAATTATCGCAATCCAGTTTGGTTCGACAAAATATAATTGCTCTATCCATTTTATGTTCCTCTATGGCGTTTATACAATATTCTCCTTTTAATAATTTCACGCCCTCAGAAAACGTTTCCGGTGTATGGTTTTGTGGATGAACATTATCGCGCGAATGTACTCCGTCCGTACGGATATGCTCACGTAAATTGTGCCATGTGGTATCTTTTTGTGGATCAACTATGCAAACTACATGATGAACTGTTTCAGGAACAGCGTCTTCTCCTTTTAGGTCAATCCATGTAGGAAAATGCATAAGACGATCAGCCATTTTTTTTACTTCAAACGCATGTAGCGTAGCTGAACAAACAACCATTTGTAGTCTACGTCCATCAGAAGTTATTTTTGGAATTTGTTTGTGCAGTCGATCAATTAAATCAGTATAATTTTGCTTTAACAATGCATCAGCCTCATCCAAAACAAAGAACCTAAAAGCCAAAAATAATTATAACATAATATAAATAAAACATCGTTTTTGTAAATTCATATATCTCACAAACCTGCAATGCGTTAATTGGACAAATCCGCCACCAATCATTTCTTCCAAACGACCAGGAGTTCCAACTACAATGTGTACTCCTTGTTGAAGTGCATTTTTCTGCTGTTCAACTTTAACTCCACCTATTAACAGTAATGATCGAACATCTGGATTACTCAAATGTACCTTAAACTTTTCTATTTGATTAAAAGTTTGCTCTGCCAATTCACGACTAGGCTCAATTACAATTGCTTGGGGTGCATTTGGTGCTGGTTTATTAGCATCGGCATTAGTTGTTGGGCTTGCTAACGGATTAATTTTAGAATTGGATGATTTGACTTGGCTGACTGCAATGAATCCTTTCGAAGGTAAATGTTTTAAATCCGTTTTCCCAAAATTAAAAAGCATTTCTGCGTTTTTCAATACGACAGCGGGATAAAATGTTTCGTTTCGAAAATTGTCGTTTAAACGGAAAGCAACCCCTAAGCTCACACCATTTTTTGAAAATGAAATTTCCATAGTTTCTAAATCTAATAAACAGCCTATAACATCATTTTTGCCAAAAGCCTCCCCGTAATCATCAAACTGACGGTTATTTGATTTTTTTCCAGTACCACCAAACCCAAAACCATTGCGACATGTACCCAAATCATGATTAGCCTTTTCGGTAGACCATCCCACTCGGCAGAGTCCTTCATCCGTAACTGTAGCTTCGTAGTAATACTTTCCCTTTCCTTTAACACCCGTTGTACAACGGCACCCATGCCAGTCCTTAAATTCCCTTGACTGACAACGCATACCATCCGGTGTAACAGCTAAAGCTGAAGTACGATCAAAGAAAGACATAGTCCAAGGAGCTACCAAAGCCGTTGAGCTGGCACTTTTCCCTATTTTTCCTTCTTCCAAGTCACGTAAAGTCTCCCAAACTATTTGTAAAATGGGTAAGCAAAACGCTCCAGTCTTACCAGACCCAGTCTCAGCTGCCATCAATACATCACCACCGCCAAGTATAAGTGGAATAGCTTCAGCTTGAACATCAGTGGGTAATCTATGTTTAAAATGGTTATTCTCATTTGTACGGAAACTTATAAGTACACTTACGTCCAATCCATTTCTTCAATAGCTTTGGCTATTTCCGGCAATACGCCAAATTCTGTAATTTAATAATATGTAATTATTTTTGAATATGTTATCTTTATATTCAACATTTTACCTTCAAATGCAGTCATTTTTAGCAAATAATACACTGCCTTTAAAATCTCTATTTCTTGTGCCGGTTATTAAAATATCCAGGCAAAAGTAATACAAGCCCTCAACTTATGTAGTGTTGTAAAACAAGTGAAAACTTTTATAGACATAATTATAACAAAAATATGTACAAAGATAGGAACATATATATTACGTTTTTACAATTTTAATATCAGAATGGTCATTCAGACGTAGCCCCGTAACTAGGTAATCGATGACAAACGCCCTTTTTTAATTCTTGATAAAGCTTTGAAACTGAACTGCTTGATTTTATTTTTGTTTGTTTTTTTTTAACGAAAGCAAAAAAAATTGCAAAATAAAAAAATATGATTCCATTTCTATCAATATTTCTTTATATACTATATTTTCAAACATTTCGAATTATATTAAAAGTTTGTGCAACACATCTTAATAAGAATTGGATAATATTATGTCGAATACCGAAAGAATTTAAACCTGATGCCTCAGTAATTTGTTAACTCCGTACCGTTGGGCGCTTCATCCAAATAGTTGTATAGCAATTTTCAGTCCATTAAATATCTATTATCTTGTTCTACTGAAAGGAGTTCAGGACTAATATTTGTTTTAATTTATTTTTAATCGGAAAGCTTCAATTATATATGCAGAGAACTCTATTTATACTACAATTTTTGAATAATATATTTTGTTTAAATCTTGTGTTGAAATATTTATTTTACATAATTAAAAAATTCGATTATTTCCTAAGACCGCTGATGATGATACTCGAAACAACGTTGTATGGTCAGCCAAATTTCATTAAATTAAAAATAGATTTTTGTCTTTGTTTTTTCTTTGCTTTTCGAATCCGTCTAACTTTTAATCACTTTTCGTCATAACGACGTGTCACTCTAAGCAAGAAACAATTAACATATTTATTTTATTGTTTTATATATATTTATATATTTCGTGACTCGCACTATTTTCTTTTATTGGACTACAACTTTTTTCTCATAGAGCTACTTATTGTTTTTTTTCAACTAATGTTAAAACATTAAAAGCTTTTCTGTTGAAATAATATAGAAGCAGTAAAAATATCTGTTATAAAAATAATAAAATTCTTTTAAAATGGATTTAATAAAATAATGTTCTTAAAAATATTTTTGAATAAAGTATTCGTGTTGCTGTAAAGCTAGACTTTCTTTGTATGGTGACAAAGAAGCTTTATTAAAATTTAGGGGGGTTTTGAATAACAAAGAAAGAAATAAAGGACAAACACAAAAATTTATTTATAATTTTATTGAAGTTTGGCTGACCATACAACGCTGTTTCGAGTATTGCCAAGTACTCTTCATCAGTGGTCTTTGGAAATAATCGAATTTTATTTAATTAGTTTATAGTCCATATATAATTTGTTTGGACTGCAAGTGCCAGGCCTAGAACTCGTGCCTGTCAAATAAGAAGCGATGACTAATCGTGTTTATCCACAAGAAGCCAAGGCTGCACAAACTTTCAATGCTCAAGTTCCAGGTTTTATTGTCACTTATTTTTATTTAATCAGTGACACCAGAGTACTTGGCAATACTCGAAACGGCGTTGTAGGGTCAGCCAAACTTCAATAAAATTAAAAATAAGTTTTTGTGTTTGTCCTTTATTCTTTCTTTGTTATTCAAAACCCCTCTAAAGTTCATAAAAATATTAAAAATAACTACCAATAATACTGTATTTTGAAATAAAATGCTCTTATGTGGCATGCAATATAATTTTAAGTATAGAATTTTCAAATAGCTCATGCCATACTTGAATAAAATTGGATTAAAATTGGTTTTTATAACAGTTTTCGCAAGGTTTATTGTATGTACTGGATTGAACTTTGCGTCATGCTTTGATGCTGTTGAAAAGGTGATGAATCCAATGTATGTACATTCTATTTCTTCTGTCATTTTTTAAAATCTTTTAGTTTACATTTACACAGGTTTTTTATTTATAATTCCAGAAAAGTACAATGAACAGTAAAAATAAAAAATTTATGTATAATATGTGAATACCAATCAAATAAATATCCAATTACTGATTAAAATACTACTTTTGTTTTTCTACACACACACAATCAAACAGAGTTCGTATATAATAAGGTGTTTTCGGTTGGTAAATCTTGGGTAACTTTTTTATTCGAGATTCATTTTTAATATAATTTTCACTCTCGATTGGTAAATCTGTATAACACTCGATATTAATGTATAACTCTTGAGATTACTTTATAACACTCTAGATATTTTGTTAGAATAGTAAAATTAGTTATAATTATGTACAAAACTATTATTAAACAAATTTAATAAGAGTTTCACACACTTTGGCATTTTCAAATTTTCAATGTTACGAATAGATTTTAACATTTCTTTTTCAATTTTCTAATATCGTCAAAAAATCTATAATATTACTACATTTGCAGAGTTGCACAGAAAAATAATCACAATTTCTGACAGGATTTTAAATAAATCTCGACGAAAACGAAGTTAACTTTTGATTGGAAAATATGTACTTAAACAACTTAATTTGTACTTTAACCTCGATAATTGTTTTAATCTTGTGTTAATCTCATAATGGTAACGTAGTATTACATCAAACTCTGCCTATAACTTAAACTCAGAACATGTACTCATATTTGTTTTTATTTAGGAATATAAGCTATTTAGCACGACTATACTAATAGAAATCATGATTTACCAACTAATTTTCAAGACTTTTTAAATCAACAATTTTAATTGCTTCATAAACAATATTATAAAAATTTATTCCATAAAACTATTTAACAAAATTTATAATTTATAATTCTTAATTCAATTCCTAGCATTTCTCGTTAATATTTGCGATATAATTTAAATTATTTTTGCGACATTATTATAACAAAAGTTTTAATCAAAAACTGCAACGTGTACTGCTAAATATTTATTTATGACAGAAATACCGCCACCAAAGAATATTATGCGATACTATTTTTAGCAACCCTACAAGCAGCGATACAAACTCACATAAATAGCAACTATGATCTGCCATTTTGGTCAAAGACTCCGTCGTAATCACATTGTTTTGGTGAGTTACTCGAAAAATTTTGATAAAAGTTAATCTAATGAAATAATTTGCATCATTTGATGAAAATTCAGTTTTTTTGTTTCAATATTAAAATAAAGCTTCATATTGACAATATGTTATTTTATCTTGCAGTTCTTAAATTCTTTCACGAGTCCCTGATTTCACAACTTTTTACAAGATGGTTAGGGAGAACAAAGCAGCATGGAAGGCTCAATACTTCATTAAAGTTGTCGTAAGTATTAGTTTAAGGCATTTATTGATTAGTTTTTAATGTGATGAGAAAAATTATCGTCTTATATGCATTATATGGACTCTGTGCTTGAAAAAGCCGAACCCAAGAGTCCTGATGTATAAAATGATTGAAAAAATGCTCTAAGAGTTGTCTGAATTGTCAAATAACTTAACTAAATTATTACCTTTCAATATGTGATTAACTATATACATTTTTCTTTACAGGAACTCTTCGATGAATATCCTAAATGTTTCATAGTAGGCGCTGACAATGTAGGATCAAAGCAAATGCAGAATATTCGTACCAGTTTGCGTGGCTTGGGTATCGTACTCATGGGTAAAAATACCATGATGAGAAAAGCTATCCGTGGTCATTTAGAAAACAATGCCAACTTGGAAAAATTATTACCTCATATCAAGGGAAACGTTGGCTTTGTTTTCACGAAAGGCGATTTGGCAGAAGTACGCGATAAGCTTTTGGAATCAAAAGTGCGCGCACCTGCACGTGCTGGTGCAATTGCTCCATTGCCAGTTATTATTCCAGCTCAAAACACTGGTTTAGGTCCAGAAAAAACATCTTTCTTCCAGGCTCTATCCATCCCTACCAAGATTTCAAAGGGTACAATTGAAATCATCAATGATGTGCCAATTCTTAAGCCTGGCGACAAAGTTGGTGCTTCTGAAGCAACTTTACTTAACATGTTGAATATATCTCCATTTTCATATGGTTTGATTATCAATCAAGTTTATGATTCAGGTTCAATCTTTTCACCTGAGATTTTGGATATCAAACCAGAAGATTTGCGTGAGAAATTCCAAGCTGGAGTTGCAAATTTGGCTGCTGTATGTTTGCAAATTGGATATCCAACCATTGCTTCTGCACCACACAGCATTGCAAATGGATTCAAAAATCTATTGGCCATCGCAGCTACAACCGAGGTTGAATTCAAGGAAGCTACCACAATTAAAGAATACATTAAAGATCCCAGCAAATTTGCTGCAGCTGCTGTTTCTGCTCCTGATACTGCTTCTGCTGGTGCCGCTGAAAAGAAGGAAGAAGCCAAGAAAGAAGAATCAGAAGAGTCCGAAGATGAAGATCTGGGTTTCAGTCTCTTCGATTAAGTTAATGAGTAACATCATACTCAACGATCTAAGCAATTGTTATTATCTTTCGCTTTAGTTTACAAGTTAATATTCGCACTGTAAATTTATGTATTTCAATGACAAATTTTTGTCGTGGTCTGACACACCCAATGTCAAGTTGTCACGAAATTACATAATTTTGAATTACTTTTAATTAGTAATTTTACGAAAGAATAAATACGCAATTCAAAATACAATTTATTCAATTTTTTATTTCATTTCGAAGAAAATCTCGGATAAATGGGTTAAATCTGTTAAATTAAATTACTTTAGATCCCAATTAAATTAGTGTTTGGATACTTTTTAAAGAAGTTGCCCAGATTATTAGTGGGATGAAACCAGTAAATTTAATATTCGACAAAACTACAATATTCTATGTTTCTTGTGTAAAGATTAAATATATAAATGTCTTTAACTCTTATGAGAACCGCAGGGTCACAATGTGAAGATTAGCAAAGAGTGAATATGATTACCAATCTCAGCCACAGTACAAATTACTTTCATACTGCTGCTGCCAATATGGGTAACCGTAATTTGTTTGGTAAAATAAAAATAATTCTATGTATATTTTTCAAATAAATATAAGTTTCTCAACAATTTTGATGTTATTCCGAAGTTTTATCGTTTTTAGGGAAGCTTGACATAGATAGATATGGGCAGAAAAGTAGTTGACATAAACCTGTATCTAATATAAAAATTTTATCGTCTAAATTGTATGGAGTCACAAAAAAATTGCAAAATTAATGTGTTGAAACACCATTAAGAAAAGAGAGATGTGTAAAGTAAAGCTGTATATTGGAAAAGCTCGGCTAATGCATGAAAACTATGTAAAAAACAACATCCTGACCTAAATTACAACATCTTAAAAGCATGATTTGCTAAACGGTGTGATCACATTCTTAACAGTTCCAAGAACGGCCGGGTCTACGTCCTGGAGTCACTCGTCGAAGACGACCAAGCCTCGTCGAAGACGTTCAACCACCCCCAACGGGTTACAAAAACAGCATCACATTCTTAATCTATTTTTAACAATTTACTTAAATAGTATATCTTATTTATAAATCTGTTAGGAAGAAAGCATCAAATGTAATAGAATAGAAATCTGCTCCCAACGAAGCAGAGCACTGCGACCAGATTGATCTTTTGTGCTGCAACTGAGCCTAACCGAACAGAAGACATTCCGCCTTTCGAATGAAAGCCAGAATGTCCGTTGAGGACCTCCTAATGTCAGAAGGAAAAATTAATAAGTTCAAACGAAAAATTTCTCAATATTACATTCCTAAATTAGGTTCTATACAAAGAAAGAATATATAAATCATGCAACAAATAATATCTCTACAAAGAGAAGAGTATTGAAATTTAACAATTAAAAATATAATTAATTCAATTATTCTACAGTTGGTTTATGATTTCATTCTAATATAAACACAGCAAGTGAATTTGTTAATAAAACTTTCACGTCAAATTAACAAAACTCCAGAAAAATGTGCGGACATAAAAGATAAGTACGGCTTTGGGTCAGTTGATTAAGCAGCGCTGACTCTGAACTTTAAATTTGGCAGGGTATGAGTCGGATTCCTGGTACTTGCAGTCGCAAAAAATTATTTACGAATAAATAAGTATAAGAAATAATTTCAAGACCACTGATAATGGGTATTTGGCAATACTTGAAACAGCTGTATTGTCAGCCAAAAATTCAAATCATTAAAATATAAAAAAGAAAATTTTGTTGTAGTTCACTAATTTTCGAAAAAAAACCTCTTTATGAAATACCATAGTTATATTGTTTAATATTGATTCCTCCTATCTAGGTGATTGATGCATTTATTTCAATGGTCTTCTTTCCTGTGTTATAATTATTTTGTAATATAAATAAGACTGATTCAATTTTATACTATATACTATGTTTAACAGAAAATATAATCAAATTAAGATATAGAACTTCTTCTGTTGTTATTTGTATAATATAGTCATTATATTTCGACATACATATTCAGATTACATTGCTTTTATCATAAGTGATAACACAATTGCTTGGTACTTTTAAAATACTCGTGAATGTACAATTTTTTTTATTTTACAATTTTACAAAGAAACTTATATATTAAAAGTAAAATAATAACTTCAAAAAGGCACAAAAATGGAACAATACTTTATATAACAATAACAATTATGATTCCAGGAACCCATATACACTTGAGTTCACCATCTCTAATAATAATTAACTTGTAAATATTAAAGTTTTACTTTAATAATACGTTATATCAATAACTTCTTTGATTTCATTGCCCCACTCGCGAGCAATTATCATTATTTCATTCATAGTTAGTTTTGGACCAATAAGAGGATGCATTTGAGTCATATAACAACAAAGCCAGCTGTAAAATAGAACAAATTTCTACATTATAAATAGTCTTAGGAATATTATAAACATATACTTACAAAAGCCAACAGGTGGCTGCCGTCAGCATTAAACAACATTGAGTTACACTAAAAATTAAAGAGTGCAATTAGTTAATTACCAAAATAAGTATTTAACATTATTTATGAGTAAAAACGAAAGTTTACTTATAATATAAGAATTAAAATAAATCTTAGTTGTAAATATATTCTTACCCTTTGTTTGGTCCTCGAGCAAAAAATGGACAAATTATACCTATGAATGCCCATATACATGTAATTATTAGTGGTGGTACATAAGCGTCAACCATTTTAATAGTTTTAACTTAAAAATTCAAGTAAATAATGAAAATAATAAACAAAATTACTTGAACAAACTACGATGTAAGGCAAAACTGATAACTACTGAAAAATCTCATTAACGTCACATGACTAATGTCAGTCACAAGGTTCGCGATTTTTGTATGGATAATAATTATTGCTTGATATTTATACACTAAAAAAAATTATTTTTGTTTAATTTACGGATTTGCACACAAATCGCACTAGTATAAAATAAAATTTTTGGTGAATTTTCGTTTGGTGAACTCGTATCCTCTTGCCGAAAATGGGTCTAATCGCTAATTTTGCTAGTAAAAGACAAATGGTTAAAAATAGAAAGATAGTTAAATTATTTATTAGTGTAAAATCATTAATCGTCTGTTCAATCTAAACGTAAAAGTAAGTTCAAGATTTTACATTCTAAAGCATGATATAGACGATGAAATTTGTTTGCAAACAAGGTTTGCTGGCTATCAAATTGCATCGTCTATACTCAAGTTTGCAGTGAAATTAAAATTTTTCAATTATTTGTTAAGTTTGCAAACATGTTTACTTGTGTATATCGAAGTTTACAAACTTCTCATAATTTAAGAATTTTGGTGAGCGTCGGACAAGCAAAGATTACAGAAAAAAATTATTAATTCTTGGTAAAAAGAAAAATAAATGAAAAATAATTAAAAAATTGCTAGACATTAGACAATTATTGAAGAAGTTTATATATTTTAAAAATTATTTTGTGCTAAAAACATTTTTATAGTAAGCTTTAATATTTAAACCATTATTATATGAATAAAAATTTTAAAATGTAACATATTAAAAAATTGAAACAAAAATAATTTTAGTTTAAAAAATGAAATAAATAACAGGTTGCTATGATCATCACCTCAATTTCTTCAGTTTCAATTATTGTTTTGCACTCTGTACTTACTCCGCTGTTGATATGAACGCTGTAGAAAATAAATAAAAATGAAGTTTGCCAACCTTGTTTCAAAGTGTATAGCAAAGCGCATATTCGGTTTGCAAATTTGGTTTGCAAACAAATTTCATCGTCTATATCATGCTTAACTCTCAAACTTAGCATACAGTAAAACAAAACAACAACACAATGCTTTTTTTTTGAAATCTACTTTTTCATATATTATTTAAATATATTATTTATTTAAAGCACATAAACAATGGTTTAGAATTAAAGTCAATTTAACCAATACATTCAATACTGCATTTTTGTTAACAAATTATTTTTGTTTAAAATTTATTTATATATTAGACGGCAATCTGAATGTCGTTTGTAATTCTAATATTCTAGTTCTAATAAAAAATTCTCTGTAATTCTAATAATAATTCTCTATTTATACATGAATTGACCGAAAATAAAACAATGAAGACATCATTACTAACAATAATATGAACCGGAAAAATACATCTATTGAGAAATTAAACAAAAACAATAGTGGATTTGTGGGTTGTCTATAGCTGATAGACAAGAGACAAGTTTCTATCGTTGATAGACAAAACAGAATTTTGGTATTGTGAATTGAAAATTGTTAGAAGTTTTTCTATCAGCAGTAGATACATTTCTCTATCGCATTTGAGCAATAGAAATTTGTTGATCAGATACAAAAATGCCGTTGAAACGGTTTATTCAGTCAATTAAACATATAAATTTAATATTATTTTTGTTTATTCAATAATTAGTAATAATTCATTTATATTTTTATTTGCTTACCCGCTTAATATTTAGGCTTTTAAGTATAATATATTATATATTGAGAATAATGCTTTATTTTTAATTTGTTCTATTATTTGCTTATGTGTGTTTATTCGAATATTTTGAACAAAAAAGTCTTTCTGTAGTTAACTTAACCGGTATACAAGTATTTCTTCATTTTTCCGGTATATTCGTGGGCGAATAATGTAAATATTTATATAAAATTACAGAATAAAAAACGGCAACCACTAACCAGGCAAGACTAGATCTGCTACAAGCACAAACGAATGCCCAAGAACTTTTTATAAAGATGTTTCTACACGCCTATAAAGTATTGTAAACATTTTGATAAAAGAAAACAATAAGAACCAACAGTATCGTGACCAAAAACTTGCTTTTAAAAGTGAAAAATTAAAATTATATAATGCAGAGCCGCAAAAAAAAAAAAAAGTTCCCCAAGCTTTAATTGTTTTAAAAAAGCAAGTGAAAATTAATATTAAATTTAATACAAATCTTTTGTATATATTATTACATATAAACCTCATCCGAGAGTATTTACAGAAATGGAAAATAAAAATTAATACTGAAAAAACTATGGCACTGTTCATTACGTGTAAGAGAAGACAGAAGCCGTCAAGAGTAAGAGTGAAAGATATGATAATAACCTAGGAGCAAACCATCAAATATTTAGGCATTACAGTGGACAAACAGTTCACTTTGCTTAAACATGTTCAACTGAAACAATTAGCTGTGCCAAAATTCTTCATCACTTCCAACCGCTATTCAAAAATGAAAATTTCAATGCTAAGAACAGGAAGCTGATATATAACCAATCACTTTAATAAAATATTTTTTAATAGTTAAGAGTTTTCGGATTATTTTTATGTTTCATATTATTTTATATCGAGTACTTGAAATTAATTTAAACGTTTCTTAGCAAACAAATTCAATTAAGTAAGTTAAATTGAAGCTGCGCGCTTTAAAACCATTACATCATTTACAAAGTCTATCACGTTTCATAATACGAAATTTGCGTACCAATCGACTCAGTAAACAAATGTCTATTGTCTATAAATAGTCATTTCATTATAGCCACTAATGTAATTTATTAAAAACATTGTAAATTAACATTATACGAGCAATAAAATATGTTTTGGAAGAACAAAAAGACCACCTAATACACGTGTTAATAAACTTAGTTGTGTAATACAAAAAAATAGTGCACAGTTCTAACACAACATTCGCAGCAGTTAAGCCCAATTGTTAGAGCGAAGCTCAAGAAAATCATTTGCTGGATTTACAGAATATAAAAATCTTTGCATAGAAAAATTGACGACGAAGAGATAAACTATTCTAGATCAACAATATATCAAAAAAAGCCATAAACAGAAAATAAAACATCGAATATATAAGCGTCAGCTATAAATTTTACTAATATATAAAAAAATAAAGACATACAATTTAATGTTTAAATTTTGCAAGTTACTGATTCTTCTACTTATTATTGTTTAATAGTATGTTAATTTAAGTGCAATAATAGAAATTCTAATAAAGGTAGATATGTAGGAACATAATTACAACTATTTGCAACAATATACATACATATATACAGAGCTTCAGCCTTAAATTTTGCGTGGGACTGTAAACCACAATGGCGGTAATGTGATGGTATGGGGTTGCATTTCATCGAATGGAGATGGAGAACTTGCATTTATAGAGCATACTATGGAACTTGTACTAAGATATTCTCTTAACTGCGGAAAAATTGGGTATTAAAGACTATTTTATCTTCTTTACCTTCACGACAATGACCCAAAGCATTTGATAAAAACACCTGCTCAGTTACCTGATCTTAATGTAACTGAAAATTTATAAATTGAGATAACCGAAGACCTTTATTGATATCGTACGATCAAATAAGCTGTGATCCACTATACAAACTATTTTTATTTAAAATTAATTTATTTCGTTTTACAAGAATTACAATAAGTTATGTAAACAAATATCTGTGATTGTATTTAATATGTCGCGGTGCCAATTCTATTTATATTTTTCCAATGGAGTTACATCTGTTAATAGTTTCTGTTACTGTCGCATGCTTCAACTACAGCTGTTCAAGCAGTTAGCGTATATCCTTGTGAGGTATCATATCATATACTTGATGCAGATCTGTCGATCTAACTTTAAAAGTATTCTTAAAAGAAATATTTGAATACTACATTTTTGTTTAATATAAAATCGATCAGGAATCAAAATATATAAATATAATCTAGTATGTAAAATAAGTCACATATTAATTAATTCAGGTTTTAAAATGTAGTGGCATTTTTTCAGTACGCAAAAATTTTTTCTTTGGGTAACATTGTCTATAATAACGGGTGTCAACACCATCAAATTTTTATGTCAAATTACTGTTCAGTGGAAAAGTGACAAGCAAAAATACAAAAATGGTTCTCGAGAGTACTATGATTTGGTAAATAATTAAAATATTTATAACTAATTAATTTATATTTGTTCTGTTCCATTTATCAAAGCAAATAGTTAGAAAATATTTTCCGACTAAACCACAAAAATGTATTTTTAGTTTTGATAATAGTGATTACCAACGAAATGGTGATTACTTTCCAACTCGTCTAAATGTTCAAAAAGACGGAATTAATTTGGTTTGTCTAACTAAGATTCGATCAAATCCAGAAAACAATGTTGGTCTTATGACTATGTCCAAGTAAGTACATTCTTTAATAGTATATATTAACTAGAAGACACTAAATTTTGACTATCAGCACTGTTGAGGTACTGGCCACACTAACTACCGACGTAGGTAGAATATTTTCAAAAATGCACACTGTTCAACCTAAAGGGGAAATTAATTTTTCAACTGGTATTAGAATTGCTCATGTAAGTTTAAACGCTGAATAGTTAAAATATTTTTATATAAATCTCCTTTTCAGTTAGTACTGAAACATCGTCAAGGGAAAAATCATAAAATGAGGATTGTTGCTTTTGTTGGATCGCCTATCACACACGATGAAAATGAGTTAACACGTTTAGCTAAGCGTTTAAAAAAAGAAAAAGTCAACGTGGATATTGTTAGTTTCGGAGATCATGATAACAATAATGAGCTGCTTACAGTATTTGTTAACGCTATTAATGGTAAAGAAGGGTCTGGATCTCATTTAGTTAGTGTACCGCGTGGCTCAGGTCTTTCTGATGCTCTACTATCTTCACCTATAATACACGGTGAGGATGGAGCACCTGGAGCAGGTTATGGAGGTGCTGGTTTTGAATTTGGTGTTGATCCTAATGAAGATCCTGAATTAGCATTGGCATTGCGTGTTTCCATGGAAGAACAACGTCAACGTCAAGAAGAAGAGCAAAGGCGTGCATTAGCTGATTCTAATGCAGCTAGTGGAACTGCAGCAACTACAGGAACAAGCGGTGAACAATCAAATACCGGTTCTGCTGCATCTATTATGGAAGATTCGAATTCAGAAGAAGCAATGTTGCAACGTGCTTTGGCATTGTCAACTGAAGCTGTAAGAATTACAAATTTTTTTATACAAACAATTTTTATATATAATCACTTATTTGAAGCCCGAAGACAATTTGCCCGATTTTGCAAACATGACTGAAGAGGAACAAATTGCATTTGCTATGCAGATGTCCATGCAAGATGCAGGTTAGTATATTGATATTGATTAAATAATTAAGTTTCATGAAATATATTTCTTGGCAGACGAGACCGTAACTCAGCAGGCAAAACGCCCTAAAACTGAAGAAGACGCACCAATGGAAGTCGACGAAGATTATTCGGAAGTTATTGGTGATCCAGCTTTTCTTCAAGTATGTAATACATAAGTTTTAGATTTTAATTTAAGAAAATAATTCTTATATTTATATGTTATAGAGTGTTCTTGAAAACTTACCTGGTGTAGATCCACAATCCGAAGCTGTGCGTGATGCTGTAGGCTCTCTAAGCAAGGATAAGGAAAAGGAGAAGAAGAATGATTCCAATAAAAAATAAACTTATTTTGATAAGCGCATTTTTAAATACATTATTACTCCTGAACTATAATATTTAATAATTTCACATAAATAAAGAATTAAAAATATCAAAGTATTTTGTATCAATAAAATTTTTGTCAAAAAATATGTACAATGGCTCCGTATTCATATATTAGTAACAAAAAACTGCTTCAATAAAAGTCTTCGGTTATATCAATTCAGCAATCTTTTTCGTTATTTAACGATGGGCTTAATGACTAACATAACTATGTATTCGTTTATAGTAACAATATAATCGTTAATAATAATATAATATATTCGTTTATAATAGTAATATAATATATTCGTTAATATAGATGGACAAGTGCATTCGCATGGTTCAAGAAACTAAAGTAAAGCTACCCTATTTATTTTTTAAGATATAAAAAAGGAAAACTTTCCATTAGTTTTTGGTTTTCTAACGTTTACATTTATTAACCATTATCTATTCATACAATTTAATTTAATGAAATTTACGAAAATTGATTACATAAATTAGTTTCCACTTTTGTATTCCCGAATATGATACAAAACCCATGCAGGAATAACTAGCAACGAAGCACACATACCGCCGCCAAGCACTAACTTTTCCTGCAAATGATATTAAAAATGATTCTTTTACGTAACATTCTAAATTCGACAACACTTACAGCTTTAGATACATGAACCCTTGGTGGGCCTGGAACTACTGATTGACATCTTTTCTGCAAGGTATTACGGATTGCAGGAACTAAAAGTCGAGCTGCGCTATCGTGGAACATCTTTATAAAATATATTTTCTCACTTGCAAAATCAATTGTGGTTGAAAAATGACAGAATGGTCTCCGTCATGAGTAAAATTCGATTACTTGCGTAATGGTTACCAAAATTAAAGTATTTGGAATGTATGTTACATCAACATGATTGACAGTTTGCTGTTCAGCTGACCCAAATTCAATTCAATATAAATTAATGCATTCTTTTATTGTAATTTATATCGAAGTGTGCAACTTACATGTAACAGCTGCTGCATAAGTCAATACTTTTATAAGCTATATCACTCTGTATCTATGTTGTAATGGCTTTGGACAAGTTTTTTGCAACTCTCACTTTTTCACTAATTATTCTAAATTTTTTTATTCGAAAATAAAAAGATTACCAAAGTCTAATCTGTTGAGATACCAAGGTATATAAACGTATTGCGACAAATTACCCTTTCAAACTGGCAATTATTTACTGACTTATTGCAATAAATAGAAGTGTTGCAATAAATGTTCGAGTTTTTTTGATAACGAAACATCAAAAAATTGTTTTTAAGATTGTAATTTTCTTTTTTTTTTGACTACAAAAAAACTGGCGATAAATAGTTAAATTTGCAAAATAAAACAAAAATGAAAAATGTTAAAAACAACTTTTGATATTATTTAGATCTGTTTATATATGTATGTTGACTTGTTTCTTCAATTGTATTTATTGGCATAAATATTAATTGCAATTAATTGAGCATTTCGAAAGGGCTAATAGTTGAATTCAATTAGTAAGTTATTTTACTATTTTAATTTAATTATCTCAAATATTGAGATAATAGTAAGATACTGAGATAACAACAAACATACTGTGTATTCAATCCGTTTACATACAAATATATGAAGTTATTGAATGACTGTGTCTTATCACGTTTATACAAATGCTTAAATAAATCAGACATATAAACGATGTTCTATATGTATGGATAGCTATTTGCATGAAGTAAAACTATTTTTTTCAAAATGTCCAATATTTCATGACGCCTTTGAGCGTGTATACAAACATATTTCACTTTCACATCCAATGTGGTTGACCATGTAAATTGACAGTCTGTCAAAGTTTCTATGAAATTAGTGATTTATGCTGGATTCACACACATTCATTTAATTTTAGCTGTCATTTCAAATTATTCTTGCTTTCGATATGAAGAGGAGTTCAAATCAAAAAGATTTGTATGTGAATTTTGACAGCTAAAAAAACATTTGAATGGTAATTGGTACAAAATCAAGTTGATTTTAACTTGGTTAGTATCGTGCACTACAAACTTATTGTGAATAGTTTTGAAGAATGAATTAAATTTTCATACAAAATGATACAAAACTTATGTATCATGTGTATATATTATAAGTGCAAAGTGTTTATCATATTTGCAAAGTAAATAAATTGCGAAAGCAGTTAAAAAGTGTGAATATACGATAAATCTGACAATCAAATAACATTGATATGTCGTGTGATCGATATTTTTGTTTTTTGATTTCAGATGTCAATTGAAAGTTTTTGACAGCTAAAATTAGAATCTAATAATAATTTTAATACAAATCATTAAATTCGTTATTGTTTTTTTAAAAGTTGTAAAAAAAGTGTTTAAATTAATTTTCTAACCATCCAGTAGGTAATGTAGTTTGAAACAAAATTAATTTACATTTCGAACTACTTGTGCTTATTAACATCTTCCGCAAAATGATAGCAGCCGTTACTGGGCAAATCCTACCTCACCAAAGTTCGGAAAGGTTATGTGTTTCTTTTGTTTTTTGTTTAAGCATAATTTATTTTGTTGAATATTATTTTTTTTAGTACCGTTTGTTGTTTATGATATATGATACTGTTGTTTTGGCAATACGCGTTGTGAAACTTTTCAGAGCGCATTATTTTTATTTTATTTTTATCACAATTTTTGTATTTAAAAATTCAAAAAATAAGATCAATTCCCATGACAGCGCTAAATATAAACAACCTGTTACATTTAAAATTGTCTTTATACATCTCCAACTTCGCTATACACTTTACTTAATATTAAAAATTACAATTTTATACCATTATTTATCTAATTTATATCATATATTGTATTGAGGTAATTGTTAATTAGATGAAGGCACATATAAGAGTTAATTATTTAAACAACTACAGTAATAACCCATGATTTCATATATCTGATCAGATATAGTTTTAACTACGTACATTAAATAAATATATATTTTTTATGTAAAAATAACTTATACGGCGTTTACATTGGCCGAAAATGGCTCATTTTGAATGAGCCATTTGAAAGTGTTTACATTCGTTCTATTTCATTTGTTCTCATTTCAACAGCTGATTTTTCAACTTGCATGTTGATTTGATTTTTGGCCTGTGCCAAAAAAATGTTGCATGAAGGTTAAATATGCCTTCAAACCTTACATTAGAAACTTAAAACATATTTTTAACTTCGATTAATTACTTTTTGGGAAAAATGCAACCACCAAACATTTGTTTATCTTTTTTTGTAAATATGTTAAAAACAGCTTTTTCAAACTGTCAAAATGCCATGAAGAGCTTTCATTTAGGGTATGTTCACTGGATTCCTTTGCATTTGGAACGTATGTGGAATTCGAACGTCATTCATACAGAATGTGAGAAAATTGCTCATTTTTGTGCTTGAAATTTTATATGCAAGAATGAGCCATTCGATACTCATTTTCGATTTTTGACCAAAATGAGCCATTTTCGGCCAATGTAAACGCCGTATTACATTTTATCACATGTGTTTTCAGTGGTATATAGTAATTTTGAAGGACAAACATGATTTATTATAAAATATATTATCAAACATACAGCATGATAAAAAGATGTTGCTGGCAATGCCATGTAAATGATCAAAACTATTTTTCGTCGTATTTGCTATGCTGTTTGTCTGTCGCTTGAGCTGGTAGTTTAAAAGAATTTTTATTAAATTTAAGTAAATATGAAACTTAAATGAATAGTAATCTTATAAAACTTAAAATTTTATTCAAAATTCAAAGTAAATAAATAATATTGGCAACTTGATAAAATAATTATACAGAGGCTTTTCCATCTTAAAAAACTTTTGTAGACAAAGAGACGCCTCGACTGTAAAGAAGAAAAAATTTGTATATGTCTTTTCATAATAAATTATTGCTTGTGCTTATTAATTCGTAAAATTGTAACAGCAAAAATGTAATTATCTAAAATAATGAAGCTTTTGGCATTCAATTGTATAATTTAATAATTAATACATACAGCAGTGTACTCTCATATTGATTTTACAAATTAATATTAATGCACCCCGTGTGCTATAAAAATAACTTTAAATTAATTTATACTATATATATTATCTTTTTATAAATAGTTGGTTAAAGTCTGGTGTACACGATAATTTTCATTAGTAAAAAGAAATATGAATTCTTTGGATTCTCTTGTGACTGAAGCTTCAACAGTAGATTTAAATTTGCCCTCAACATCAACTGTATCTAATACCAATCCAACAGTATGTCGTTTCTACCTAAGAGGGTTATGCCGCTATGGGTCAATGTGTCGATTCGCTCATGATTTGCCTGAAGGACAAGCATTTAGTAATATCAGCAATGAGGTTCATGAGAAACAAAAGCCTAATACAAGTATTAACAAAAAAGATTGGGCAAATGCACCAGAATTTGTGCCTCATGGTATGCAGACCTTTACTATGCCTGATATAGAATTTGCTGATGTTGCACAAAGTACAAGTAACAGATCATGGGCAGCTGTTGTAAGTGGTGACACTGCACGTCCAATGGACAGTGTGGAATCTTCGGCCGAAGAAGTTTGTCCTTACGAGCAACCTTGCCCTTACGGTGTTTATTGTCCTTATGGGATTCATATGGAGTTATGTGAAATGTGTGATCAGTTCTGCTTACATCCAACTGATCAAGCACAACGTCGACAACATAATCAGGAATGCATAAAACATCACGAACAAGCCATGGAATTATCATTTGCAATTGCCCGTTCTAAGGACAAAACATGCGGAATTTGTTTTGATACGATACTTGAAAAGACAGGTCGAGAAAAGCGATTTGGTATTTTGCCTAATTGCAGCCATATATTTTGTCTTGAATGTATACGAAAATGGCGTCAAGCTAAACAATTTGAACATAAAATAACCAGGTAAAGAAAATAAGTTTTGATTATTGAAATTATAAAATACTTATGCGAAGCTGTTTCCTATGTTAAAGAATGAAATATTATAAAGATTTATAAAAAAAAATGTTTAATTACACATATGTTTGCTCTATTACTCTATTTCAATTGAACTAATTTCTTCAAACGTAATTATGAATTCAGTTTTTTTTGTTTCTTTTTTTAATTTTTTTTTTATTTTTATTTAATAACAGAGAGAGTAATGGTTTATGACACATTTTCAATACTATAAGTTATTATAGGTGTGTGACAAATATTTTATTGTGAAATAATTAAATTTGTTATGGAATACACATTTATTTTAAAGATGTATGAGCAAAAGTATTGCATTTTTAGCTGTACTGCTATTTAAAATCATTTTTTTAAATATTATATTATTAATAGTAATCACGACAAATGAACTTAATTTATTCTAAAAAATTGTAGATTAAAGAAACCTAAGTTTATGAGAGCATTTATTTATCGTCATTATACACATATTTATTACATTTTTTACTTTATCTAAATAGTTATATATCATTGTATCCAATGATATTATTAATTTAATTATTTTTATTAATAAATCTGCTGTACTCATTAGTTTAAACTTTAAAAATTTAGAATTTAATTTAAATTTAAAAATTATGTTAGGAATATAGATTTAAAATTTTAATAAGTTGACTTATTAGAAATACTTTTACAGAATTAAAAATATAAAAACTAACCTATCATAATTTTTATTCACTGAACTTGTTCTTTTCGTATTACTAGATCATGTCCGGAATGTCGTGTAGCTTCAGATTTCGTATGTCCAAGTGCCTTTTGGGTTGAAACTAAGGAGGAGAAAGATAAACTATTAAATGATTATCGTAATGCCCTTGGCATAAAAGATTGCAAATATTTCAAAAAGGTAATTGTTATAAACAATACATTTTAATGAAGTAATAATTATTTTTTTTATTATGTTAACAAAAATATTATATTTGATTAGGGAGAAGGAAAGTGTCCATTTGGTAACAAATGTTTCTACAAACACGCTTTACCTAACGGTGTTTTGGTTGACGTTGGTTGTCCTAAACGAGCAAGAAAATTACACAGGAGCCCCACCGAAATAATTGATTTATTAGATGATGTACGTATTTTTACTACACTTTTCTTTTTAACTTAATATACAAATTTTAATAATTGCCAATAGAAAAAGTGTTCCTAAAATTAATATATATTGATATATAAAATGTTCCTAAAATTTTACCCATAAATTACTTTAGATTTGTTTTTTTTTTTTTAAATAATTAAAGATAAGCAGTATTGAACATTTCAATTAGTAAATAATTTCAATAAAAATTTTTCAATTCTGTCAAACAGGTGTGATACTTCTAGCATCAGTATATGAAAATGTACTTTAATGGTCCAATTCATAAAACTGTATATAATCATCATACAAGGATGTAGAAATGCTTTAAGTACCAGTTTAATTTAAACACTATTGCTAGTTGAGCAACTTAAATTTCACTTTCAAATAATTTTACAAGCATATAATATATATATTTTTATAGTTAGATCATAGCATTAAAAGCATAATTTTTAATATTAAAAAAAACTTAAGTTATTAAAATTTTAGATTTGTGTACCAACACAGTAGTGATAAATAAGGTATAACATTGTTATGTATGACTTCCGTTCTTTAAAATTAAAAAAAATTTAAATTAAATTAAAAACTAAAGAAACCCTGGCAGCAGACACGCCGAACGATGTTTATGCCTTATAAACATAGTAATAGTTAAATGGCACATATAACTTTATTGCTTAATGTGTAATATAATTTTAAGTTTAATATTCTAAACATATAGTATATAATTCAGAAGTGACCTTCAAAAATACTGCTTAGTACAGTTCTAATTCCTTTTATAAAATTTGCCATTGTTAAATTTAATAAAAATCAATAATATCTTAGGAGTAGATAAATAAATTACAACTCATTTTAGTAATATATATATATTATAAGATAAAGCTTTAAGATATTTAACCAATTATTTAATAAGTCATATTTTGATGAAGCCTCGTAAACTTCTCTAGTTTATACTACTTTTAAACACATCAAGTATTTAAGATTCTCAGTATTATTAGTAAATCTTTAGCGCTAGAGCACCATTGCTCATATTGCAATACAAAAATATTTTAATTGATAATAAAGAACCAAATTTAGTTTTTAATTTCATTTAATCTATTCTCTATTAAAAATTTTTATATAGGATTATTTATTACGACAGAATTGATATGTATATTGAAAAAGCAAATATTTTCAAAACAAATTAAGAATAGCGAAAAAACATGAATGTGCAAAAATTGTCAAATAAAATTATAATTTTTGTTAAAGTATAATAACAATAGCGCTTAATTTTTATATAATTTAGTTATATTTATTTGTATTGTGTATTTATATTAAACATCCGCTATTTATATATATATAATGTTTACTAATTTATGTGCTCTATTTTAATTATTAAATTAAGTTGAAAAAAAGACTAGAACAATAATTTTATAAATTTGTTTTAAAAATAAAGTTAAAGAAAATTTTTTTTTATTAATTGATAAATATTACCTTAATTTACATATATATAAAAAGAATAAGTATTAATGAAGTTTCTAGTATTTGATATACTAAAAAGCTAATATATAAAGGGAAAAATCAAAAACTAAACAACTCGGACAACACGTTTATTTACTATTCATTTCTCTATTTCTCTTATAGATTCACCTGTGGGAATTCGTTGTCCAACGTGATCTACATTGGCTCGAATTGTTTTCAAGCACCGATGATAGTGAATCTGACTGGTCCGAGCAATAAGTCAGTAAAAATATTTTCCATTTTAAAATCCTTTAGGGCCTTTCCTTTGAAACATCAGAAAAAAAACGTTTTGAACTAACTCAAATTATAGTGCGCTAATCATTACAAAATATCTTTTATTACAAAATAAAACTCAAAGATAAAAATTGCTTAATGGTTTGAAACGCACCTAAATTATATATATATATATATTAATACAACGAAATTTAAAGCTATATTAATATTTTTAGCCAAATTACAAGGCAATTAAGCTATAAAAATTTATACATCTTTCTAATGTTAACTTGCAACAAATAAACTATTCATTTAAAACAAATATTGCGATTGCTTTCAGTAGATTGTTTTTTTTTTTAAATTACTTAAAGCAGTTAAAACTTATGAAATACAATAAAATAGGAATAAATTGTAAAGTTTTGCCGATATTTGCTTAAAAATATGCATATATAGAGAGAGGCATATACATTTTCTCCTACCTTACAGACTGAAACAAAAACGGATATGTGAATTTAAAAAGTTTTTAGGTTTATTAATAATAATAGATTTAAAAAAATAAAAATAGACGATTTTCTTATAAAGCTCTTAAAAAGAAAAGATTCATTATTTTTGTAAATGATAGAAATAATATATATATACAAAAACAAAAAAAAACACAAATATATATAAAATGCTTTTGTTAAACTTGTTATTTTTTTATTATATTACGAATTGTTTTAAAAGTAAAAATCAAAAAAAAAAAAAATACAGAGTTTCTATTTGAAATTTAAAAATTTTATCTTTTTTTTATATAAAAAAATAAAACTTTGCATGATCTTATAATTTTAAAATGTCTTGTCTTCTAGATTTTTTCGTTTACTGATAATACAAAATTAATAAAAATAAATTGAATTTTTATTTCAAATTTTAATTGATTTATTATTATGCTTTCGGTTTTTCGTTTAAACTGTTTGCTTGTTTTTATTTAAAGGAAATATTCAATGTATTAATCTCGTTCAATTGTTACTATATTCAGAATTTATACTGTGAAACAACTGTAACTACTTTAAATATTAACTAATTAAAACACGCTTCAATAAACTGAAACCAATATTGTTGATCTTCATTTCAATAAATTTTAAAAATATTTAATACATTATATATATTAATCAAAACAATGTGTTTAATGGTTTTCATCTAAAATTTATAGATATATCAAGATATATTATAGATTTAATATTAATCTATATGTATATGTTTAAACACAGAACAAATCATCAAAAAATTTATAATTATATACCTCTTAAAAAATATTTAAAACAAAGTGCTGAAAATTGTTAATAACTTATTAATTCTAAAAATAAATGAGTAGTATGTATAAAATAAATAACTTACTGTATATGTAATCAGAGTTTAAGATATTAAATATGTAATATGAATTATTTACTTAATATTTATAAAATCTTTTATAGTAATTCAATAAATTCGAATATAAGATAATCGAGTTAGAACTCAAATGGCACAAAAAATGAAATATATTTTAAATATATAATATAGCATTGTTTCAAAGAAAATTTATTCGATTTAAACGCTTTTTATTTAAGTTATAAAGCATTAGTGATGCACGATTAAATGTGTTCAAAGAACAATATTACGTATAAAAATAAATTAAAATAAAACCAAAAAAAAACAAAAAAAAAATGTATGCATATAATTAAAATTAAAATTTCATTAGGTCACAAATATCGTATATTAAATGCATGCAGACTTATTCCGCTATAAATTCTTTTTATCTTACTATGCGGTAATTTAAACAAATATTTTATATAATGTAATAAAAATGAACAAGTTATGTATTTTATATATATAAATTAGAACTACTGCACAGAGTTACATCCCTAGTATTCGAGTTGTTTAAAGTTGAAAACAAAATATTTGTGGAGCATAAAAGAGGAACTCCTCAAAGATTGCCAAAATTTAACCAAAAAATAAAACAACGACAAAACTTTAAATGTTTAAACAATAAAGGCATACACTTACATGTTATGTATAACTATAGTAAAACAGTAAAAATTTGTGCCATTTCAATACGGTTTTATATATTAATTCCTTTATCAAAGATATGTTATATACATTGCTTTAAAGTTATTTCTAAAAATTTCAATATAAATTCATTTTTCATTTTATAACAAATTTATTTTTATACATATAAAAACAAAACAAATTAATTTTACTCCCATTGTTTATTAGAAAGTAATATTTAATTGTTGAAAAATGATTGTAATATACATATTTGGGCAGTTCTTTTAAATTTATTTCGATTGGTATTTACACTGCTATAAAACCAGTGCAAATCTATTAAAAGAATATTTGAGTGAGAAAAGTAAAAAGTAGCAGTGAAAAGCTAAAGTTAAATCCTTAAATATATAATACAATGTACCTTTCCTTCAAAAAAAAAACAAAAATTAAATTGATTTAAACATATATAAATAAATCTTAACTTATCAAATATGCTTGATAAAATACTTAGCCACCGAAATTGTGGTACTTGTATTTCAGTAATTCTTATAAATTGTTATAGTAAACGTAGCCGTTCTTCTACTTATTAAAATACAAATATTTTTACTAAAAAAAACACTGCTCTGCATTATACGTATATATATTATTTGAAATTCATTCATATCCACATCAAATAAATGTATACATATATAAATTGGAATTATAAACCTAAAACCATTAACAAATATCAATAGACTTATAAATTGTGTGTTAGAAAAATATTTATTATGAAAGAGTAAATGTTAATGAAACAAAAAAATATATATTGTAATTTTGTGATACTAAAATAGTTCAATCAAATTTATGAAACAATTCAAACAAATCAAAAACTCACGCTAGCAACAAATAAAATGATTGTAAACTTTGATTTAAAATAAAAATATACTTTTGCTAAGTTCTGTCTTGGTTCTCTACTTTTAATTTATAAAAATAAAATTTAAATAAAAACAAATAAATGTGTTTCAGATTTAAAACATTGATAAATAATTTACGTTTTAAATAGGTTATATAAAAATATTAACAAAATGTTTTCTTGAATAAATAATAAAGTGAAATATTACCTTGATAAAGCTGTTAGTTTTGTTTCTAATGATATCATTTCATATATTATTATTATTATGACATGTTCCAAAACTCTATATACAATTATAAATTGTTTTATATCTAAGAACTTAGTCTACAAAAAGTTTTCAATTTCCCCTACTCCGTGTCATGTATTTAAGGTCGTTAAACGATTTGAATGTTTTGAGTGAATACTTGTCGCCTCCATGTTCTCTTTAGCATTGAATATTAAAATTAAAAAATAAATAGAAATATAAAAATATATATTTTATTTTATCGATAAAATGTAATATATTATTGTATTAGAATATATTACTAATATAATATTAATATGTTTTTTATATTAAATTGTTACACTGGAATCCAAAGCTAGCGTTTGCTGTTAGTCCAAGATTTTCTTTTTTTGTAATTGATTAAGGTCAAATACCACATTACATTTTTTTTATTTTTTTTTTTTTTATTAAAATTGCTCCTAGTATACTTAAACTAATTAGCAATATTCTTCTTCTTCTTTTTGTTCTTGAGTTAGTGCTATTACGCACTTTTACTCTATAATGGCTGGGGGGCTTATCACTACCCCACACTAGGCTTTAACTAGGCTAAGAAATCGTATCATTTATTTGTCTTTTAGTTGATGACGGACTTTAAATTAGCATATCTTCCTGAGAATCCAGAAGTGGACTTGAGGACTGTTATGGCGGGGTTAAGTAGCGTATCAACTTTAGTAAATAATTTTAGAGCTCTGTCTTTGATATATTTTTTCACTGAGTCAATCCTAAGATCTCTATGTATATCTGTTGATCTAATATACCATGGATCGACACACATACATACATTGACACTACTTTTAAATAGACAGTAGTGTCAATGAAAATAGTATTTATTTAATACAAAAAAAAATTTCTTTTATATTATTGAGATATTCAGGCTAGTCGTTGGTTTATATTAGGATAGAAATGAAGGTCAAATTTTATAATTAAGAAACTTGTCCTACCACAAGAAACCGATTTCGAATTTTTCAACCAGCAGAACGAAAATTGCTTATGTTTCAATGAGCGGGTCATAAATTTACTAGTCTAGCGTAGAAAGCATCGTTTGTCATGGCGCTGTTTTCTTCTGTCAGATATGGTAGTAATAAAGAATTTACTGATGATTTGAGTAGTTGAAAGTTTATGGTTCATGGGTGTAAACTGTTGGATTGAGTTCGATAGTTTTTTTCTAACTATCCAGTTATCCTTGGACTCAGAGGCATCCTACTCAGAGGGTTGCACAACGGTAGTTGCCTTTGCGAAAACGACGCATATCTTTTAAGTACCAATATTACAGTTAACATACGCACAACAGGAGCTAAACCCAAACTGCCCCTTAAGGACAAAAAAATTATAATTAGTAATTTAAAACCAAAACTAAATGTCAACAAAACTCTTATCTAATTGTTTTTTAACGGAATAAGATGTACAGAATTAACCAGAAAAATAACATTGCTTTCAAACTCATGCAGAAGTCTTGTATGATCAGTGGCTGTTTCAAATTTTCATATAGAGAAAGTCATTGATGTGGTTGTGGCTTTCGCTTATTTCACATGATGAAACGGTTTTACCAACGAAAGTTCAACAAATTATTAACTTTTGTCAACCCACTTGTCGAGTGTTAATAATTAAATCTAACGCAAACTGCCGCCATACAGTGCATAGCAGTAACAGAATCAAAAAAGTGGTAATTATTATACCATTTTATATCTAACAAGATCTCCGCCATAGCTCTTCTAGACAAAACCAGAGGCTTTAAAGCCTAACACATCAACCTAGGGCTCGGCAACATCCCTATTTAGCTTGTGATCAAGCTAAAGTACCTTGGTGTTGTGCTATTCCCTCGGCACAACTTCATTTCATACGTTGACTATGACATACCCAACTAAAAAATGCCCTTCAGAGGCACTACCAGCATTACTGTACAGTTAAATTACTCTGCTATAAACAGCATAACTTCCCCCCTCCACTGCAATTACCTCCGTTTAGATGAAAAGAATCAGTCTCTTAGAGCACAAGCTCCTACGTAATTTTACCAAATAAAAGCGCAGGCGTGACGGCACGCACTTTCATCTCACCATCCTTTACAACACGGCCAAAGTCGTGTCGCATTAACGAGTACCTCCTGACAATCGTCCGACGGTGCATCTCTCTGCTTTACAGCCCACCCCATGTCATGTCTACATTACCACCATCTTTCCCGCAGACCACGTCCCAGCGTTCCACTTTAAACCCCCCAGCATCTTACGCTATATTTCGATGAGCCCTATAATTCCTCTTTACAACCACGGCTCTCGTGACCAAAGTCACAAAGTTTACCGCTAGCCCAATTCTCGTTTTTACGCTATACTTACGCCAACTCCACCTACTCCCAATCTACCTTTGCCAAGCCCATGCTCTCTGGCGTAAGTAAATCTAGTCCATTAATCTTCTTTTCCAAAATTTCCAGTTTCCAAATTACTGTGGAAATCTCCACTCATTCCTAAAGGGTGGTTCTGTGGGTTCAACTCTTGCACTGTGGCTTTTGGTGATTTGAAATTGCTCATTTCATATGGAAATGGTATATACAGATAGATAAAAGAAAATAATATTACTGAGAAGTGAAACACATACTAAATACCTCAACTGATATTGAAGATATAGGTTGTAACGACACGGATTCTCCGTTTCGTTATATCCTTTGCCGGGGTAACCTCTGCCCCTTCCAGGAGTCGTTTACAATAAATTTTTATTTGCAAAAACAGGACTTCTCAAATAAAAGATTGTGGTTATAGTTTCAGAACTATTTATTTATAAAAAAAAAACCAAATTCAATGATATATAAAGAGTATTTAGATGTGATAATTATTATTATTATTAATGAAAAAAATTTTTATTATGACTGGGACGGCACGTCAGTGGCAGTTGATTCTTTGAAAAATTCTCAAGGGGATTACTTCCAATGACTATTTCGGAGGGATTCTAAATGGTCTATTCTGGTCTTGTAGTTGGCTTCTATGTTCACCTGTTCGGATAAAAAAATATTAAGGAATATATGTTTGATTTATATAATACACATATAATGGTGTCCAAGCGCGTTGACTTAAAACCGCCTTACGCTCGTAAACGATTATATATATACTTTTGTATTAGTTATACACATTGACTTAACACCGCCTCTGTGTCAGATAATATTTTATTGTATTATTTTATTAGTTGACATACAATGCCACCGAGTGATCATACAAGACACACTACCCTTACCAAAAATGCGTCGTCTTTTATACAGATCAGACGAGCTTTTTGTGTAGCGCACATACAATTGTTTTCTGCTGTTTTGTGAAGTTTTGTTTACTTTCCCGTTTGTATGTCTTACTTTCGTACTGTTCTTCAAGTTGTGCGCTCAACCGATCTCGTCTATCTCTTTGCGGCGAATTTCTATTTTGACGTTTTTGATATTTGCTTGTTATGTTTTGATTTGATAATTCTCGTAACTTTGCGTGCGGTGCTTCTTGTTTTTATTAAATTATTTATAATTTAATTTTATAATTATAAAAAATAATTTATTAATAAATTATTTAAATAAATTTGCGGGGATGAACAAAGAAGGTATGTATTTATTATTTTATTAAGATATATTTCTCTATTTATTACAAATTTATTATCTCCTAATTTCAGATTGCTTCACGTGTTGCAGTTGCGTGCAGGCTGGGTAGCTTTTTGGTAAGTAGTTTCTAATAACTATGTTAAATGTTAATTTATCTATTTTAATTTCAGATTTCTTCGAAATTTATTTAAATTTATGTAGGTTGGAAATTATTACAAATTTCCATCCTCACAAGGTTGAAGGAAACATTGTAGTATTGTGTAAAACTGATGGTACATAAATAAAAAAATGTTGGCAGCTCTAAAAAAGATGACAGCTCCATGTTTTTAATTTGAAAACTTATTTACGCAAAACAAAATATGGGAAATATAAGTGAGGAGAAAAACCTATATATTTGTATCAATTGTGGTAATACTGTTAGTCGTTTATATTCTAAATATGCTAAATCGGTAAAATGTCTTAAATGCGTAAGTGTTAAATTAGGTGTATAAAAAAACTAATTTAACTTCCTTTATTTAACAGGAAAAGTGTCATAATGTGGCAGATAAATACATTGAATTCGAACCGGTGATTATTCTTATTGATGCAATCCTACTTTCAGAAAAAGCAGTAAGGCATATCCTTTACAACCGTGATTTTAAGGTGATATATAATAAGGAAATAATTTTTATATCACAAGTTTAGAATTCATTACATTGACTCAGTGAAATGGTGTTTCTTTAATGTTATTAAAATTTTAAGCTAATATTAGAACTAAAATTTTTTATTTATTAATTTTATTTATATATCAGAATTTTATAATATTTATTATCTTTCGATCATATTGTCATATTGTCACCTTGAACATTACCCCCAAGAAAACGTCAATATTGAATTCCCCGATTTATTCAATCAAATTTCTTTTAAACTCTTTAATTAGAGCGGAGCTGATCTGCGTTTTGTTACTAACTAGAGTATCAAATACCAACTTCAAATTTGTAAACTATTTGCCGAACACTATGAAAACGTTAGAGCTAGCGGTTGCATAATATATATAATATCGTGTTATTATTTAGTCCAAATTTTGGACGCAAAATGACACTAATTTTGACTAAAACATTATCTGCAGTCTCAAAAAATTATATACGATTAATTAAATATACGAAATATTTACGAAAAAGACCACTGACGATGGGTATTTCATACTATTCAACACAGCTGGAAGGTTAGCCAAAAATTCAATTTTTTAAAAATAATAAAATTTTGTTGTTGCAATAAACTACAGTTCGAAAAAACTTTTCTATTAAAATAATAGTTTCTTTCGTCATAACTGACTTTAAGAATTAAATGTAACATAAAACAATATATAAATTTTGATAAACTGCTTTTAATTTGTTGTTTACGTCTCACATAAGCACATGGCCAGGGATTTGAAGAACATCGTCCTGCCGAAATTAATCGAAAGACTATATTTATACGTATGTATTTTTATTATTATATAATATTATATAATGTATAGTGAATATTTAAAAAAATAAAACTTTTTTATAAATTATAAAGTAATTCCCCAAAGTGAATTTTTGGCTATGGATCTGCTTCCATATTATTAAAAAAGACTACATATATAAGGTTAGTCAAAATATTTATAACGTAAAAAATCATCATAGATAATCTGCCAAGTATATTTTTGAACTGAATAATGGGAAGCTTAATCGGTTGCCGTTGCTCGTTTGTCTCTACTTCTCTACTCCGACTTGTTTGCACAAATACCTAAGAAGCTATTTTGTCACTGTGGAGTACAACATTAAAGTTGCTTTCGATTTAGGACTAGTGTGAAAATTTAACAATATTCTGTAAGCCTATTCCTCATAGTTTATCAATTCATTTTTAACATTTGTCAAGAAGGGATTGGTAATGAAGGTTCTGACTCAAGGTCTTTCATAATATCTTTATGTTTATTACCCGATATATCTTTGTTTCCGGCAGTCCTAGCCAGAATTTCTCGTATCTGTTAAAAAGTTGATTTTTTGTCTATACTCCGGTAATACTTCAGACGAAGTGTAAATAACCGCCCATTCCTAAGAATGTTGACTTTTTTGTCTATAAAATCGAAATTTGTAGCAATAAAGCAAGTGCTGATATACTAAAGGAGACATTGTGTGACAAGATAAGAATACAACAAATGTTACTTGTAGTTGACGTTATATAGCAACTATTAAATTTAAAATCAGTGAAGCTGGGAATTTGGCAATTAAATAAAATCAATTAATAATTAAATACAAGAATTATTTCCCAGACGACTGATGATGATTGATTTGGCAATGCTCGAAACAGCTGTATGGTCAGCTAAAAATTCAATTAATTAAAATAATATGAAGATGAATTTTTGTTGTAGTTCACTACTGTTCGCAAAAACCTCTTTATGAAATCAATTAATTAAAAAATATCATTTCACAATTATTCGAAAATTGATCTTAATCACGTTTCATTTTAAATACAGTTAATAAGACGGAAATTCTGGTATACGGTGTTCCATATCGCTCTGTCATTCAAACTACACTCATTATTGACCAACTTAAGGAGCAATGCCTTTATCAATATTGTAAAATCATTGCCATAAATATACTAAATCTATGTGTGAAATTTTGATAGATATAGATATATAACAAACATTTTGTTTCGACATTGGTTCTTGGCTCTCATCATAGCGTTAATAAGACTTAATTATTTATTTAATGTATAAATCAAGTTTATATATATGAAGTATTTTGGAATTTCTATAATCAATCACATTCCATCACTACACAAAATCAATGTATTTTGCAGATCATTTTAAGTTGAAATTTATTTTTTTATATTTTACCATTTTTTATATTTTATATTACTAGAGGATTATTTATTTGTTTAATAGAAATGTAGAATTTAATTATAGTTTCTTTGGAAACTTTCGACTGTGCTGCTTTTGTTAGAATCTTTTGCTCTATGGCGCAAGAAGCGTTTTGAACAGTTTGAAGCATCACAAAATGAGATTGTGCAAGAGAAAGGCTTTTATATATGCTGTTTGGAAAATATAATTGGTAACAAATTTGTAGTTTATCGTATATAGAATATAACTTTAACATATCTTTGTTATTTTAGACTACATCGTGATAACTTTTCTACTGCTTTTAGTATCTATGCCGCGGCGAAAACTCTTCTTCAACACCTCTACTTTTAGCGAATTTGCTGTTACTTTAATGAAAGCTGTTACTGTGGCTAACTTTTCAAAGTTCTTTCTGCTTCCTTTAATGGTTTGGCGCGAAAATACCACATTGATCGGCTCGAGCATACATAATTTGCTAGTAATGAGCTATTACATTCTTTGCTTAATTAGCGTTTTTTCCGTGATCACAAGACTGAACAAATTACAATCACTAGTCATTGTTTTGCCGATATATTTCGCAAAAAAATATTTAATTCTATGGCTGTCTAATTTTATTGAATAATATATAGAAGTCTTTTTACTCAAAGCCACCCAAATTTAAAATGTATTAAATAAAAAAATCGTTATATATAGTTTGCAAATGTAATATTATTTCTTTCAATAAATTTTTTACTTATACTAATTACTTATTATTAGCTCCTTTAATTGAATTAATTAAAATGTATATCGTTATCAATACGCGTTCGTATATGTAACATTAATTATTGGTACTATATTCATATTCCAGTTAATATTTTTTTTCTAATTTTAGGCAATTTTCGTGTAATACAAACTATTTTTATATCTATGCATATGTATCGATTATTTTTACATATCCTTTGAAATATAATCATGGAACACATTATCATTTTAAAAATTTAAAATAACTACAATTTAAAGTAATTTAATTGTATATAAACTACGCGCGCAGTATTCTTCGGAACGATTTCCAGTGCGTCGAAGTTAATATAAAAAGTTTTTTTTTCTTTATTGAATTTAATATTTTAATGATGTATTTTTTATTTAAGGATCATATATATATATGTATATATGAAAATTGATTTAAACAGGCAGTTAAATATTGACAAATGACGAAAATTGTTTACAATAATAGCTACACTTGAAGAAAGGAAGTATAACTGAACGCGGGTAATACGAATTTGATTGAAATTTATTGTGTAATATTTTTTTGTTGCAACCTTAAATGAATTTACGTATTATATGTAACCAGCTACAAATAATATAATAAAAATTAAAATACATACATAATTATTATACTCGGTTATATAAAAATTATTTTGAGATAAAAATTAATAACATAAGAAAATTTTTAAAATCATATATATATATATATCTATATATATATATATATTCTCAAAAATCAATTTAGACAATGTAAATAATTTCGAAAAAAATGTATAAAAGAGTTTAAAAAGTTATATGATTTAGGCCATACCACGTTTCAAGTAAAATTTTTAAAGTATTTTAAATTCCCCGTGTGAAATATTGTGGACATGGCATTAGTAAGTTATCTTAAAATGCAAAACGAATAGGTTACGTATATATATACATATATATATATATATATTTGTAAATATACTAGATTTTTTAATATTGCTCTCGGCTTAAGCAACGATTATTAATTATAAATAAAACTATACCATTACACAAATCAGTTCAGGTGCAATGATCTATTTTATACTTAATAACGTAAATTATAATTACGTATCTTCAGTTATGACGTCATGTTCCATGAAGATGAGGATGAACATGAAGAACAGTCATCGCTTTCAGGTGTGCCGTTTGTGTTCGTAGGCTTGGGTCCCCAGATGCGTACCGTTGCATCATCGCTAGCAGATGCTAGTAAGGATGGATAAACTGGATTCCATGAAACGCAGTTAACAGTTTTTGTGTGACCAGCTAATTTAGCTAAGGGCTCTTCTCGCTTAATATGCCATATGCAAACCAATTTATCCTCACTACCACTAGCAACAAAACTTTCATTCACTCCACCAAAGCAAGAATGAATTGCAAAATTGCTTTGCCGAATACCTTGAAAACGACGTACAAGACACTTGTCTTCGAGATCCCATAAGTGCAGTCCTTGATTAGATATATTAAGTAGTGCTAACCGATCAGCAGAGTTAATAGTAAACGTCATAATTGGGTTAGGTTCTTTTAGAATATCAAAATCTACATGCGGATTATCAAAATTATAGCTAAAATTTCAAAAAAAAAAATAATATATATATATTTGCAGATATTATTAAAAAAACATTAAATATTTGATAAATTTTATACTTACCCTCTGATTCGATAATGATTATCTGATGCTAAAATAGTCTTATTGTCTGAGCGAAATGCAACACAGTTTATTCGAACCCCTTCCCACGAGTCCACCACAGATCCGTTTAGATCGCACAAATAAAATTGACCCTTTTGGCCACCGCATACAAATTTTGTACCATCACGATTAAAAGCACCACAAGACAAACTGTCTTCAACTGATTGTGACAATTTTACTACAAGTTTTCCATCATCTACATTCCAAACGCATACTTCTAATGAATCCTCCGGTCCACCAACAAGTAATAATTTCGAATCTGGGCTCCAACTGACAAAAGCAACACTCAGTTGTGATTGCCCGTCTAATATACGACGATGCTTCAAAGTTAATTTAAACGGGTCAACATCCCAAATAATAACCGTTGAATCTTTACTGCCAGTTGCTAATTTAAGACCATCTGGAGAGAATTTACAAAACCACACTTCATCGCAATGATCGCTCAATATCTGTATGGTTTGCATTGGGAAACCATCAATAGAGCAACTATGATCAGTTAGCAAAGACACATTTTCTATATTTGTTTCCCAAGCCATATCGTGACAAGGACAATGTTGTGTTTGCAGCTCAACTGCTTGTTGAAGTAAAGTTCGTAAACGACGAGGAGGCATCATGACAGTAGGAGGCAAAAAAGCTTGTAAACGCTCCATAACTAGGGTACGCGAAAGTGTGCCTTTGCCCTCCCACTTGGCACGGAGATACAAGTCGTGGTTATTTGAACACATCATGTACGATGATAGCTGATGAACACGTGATATATTGTGCTGCAATGGAGTTAGTTCGTTTCGTAGAACATGTAGAGCTTCCATCGGGAAACTATCATCCAGATATTCTAAATATTTCTGTTCTAATAATATAAATTTCATCTCGATTATAGTCGAAGGTTTGCCATTATCGATAAGTGGCTCGAGTTCCTAAAAAATTATACATATAAATTCAATTTAGATATTAACAATATAATAACAGATTCAAATATTAATGAAATATTTTCATTTTATTTATGTTATTTAATAATAAATATAAAATTTTTATTATTAATTAAGAATGATATTATTTTTTTAACTATCATATATGTACATGATAAGCGTATTCATTTGAAGAATAGGGAAAATATTTTTTTTTTTGTTTCTATAAAATAACGCATTAATATATGAAGTTTAAAAAATAATATTATTTTAATTGGTATTGTTTCGCGTTATCATAAAAAGATTTAATATTGCTTTCTTTTTATTGTTGTTGTTGTAGTTACAACACATTTTCTTCTTGTTTTCTATATTTTTCTTTGTTTATATGAAAGAGTAAGCAATACTCCCTCTCTCTCTGTATCTCACTTATTGTACGTATGTATGTTAACAATAAGCACAAAGAAAGTATATATATGAAAATGTGTAATGAGGGACAAAACTAAGAATGCGATAATAATAAAAGACCAAGAAAAATAAAATTTTTAATAATAGATACTATAATTTTTATAAAAACTAAAAATTATGGTATGAAGCTACAGTTATATAGATATGGACCAAATTGGAGTCAATGAACTACTACGCATTAGGAAAATTGAAATTATTGAAATATGTTAAATGTTTTTGAACTGAAAGTAATATTCAAAACGATTTTTAGTTTACCTTAAGATCAGCGTCAGCTTTGTTCCACTCTCCGGATAGAACGTGTTCTCTAAATTTCGTTGCCGCTGGATGTTCCAAATAGCAACCAGATTCAGCAATTAGAGTTTTAGCCGATTTATCAAGACCAAAATCTTGTAAATATTGTCCAATTAAGCGTATTATTTCTTGGTTAGATTTATCCAAATGGATAGCATGGTTTTTGGTAACTGTAGAATTAGCATCGTCGTGATTATTTTCACCAACTGGTTCATCAGAACTATTATTTTGTGCAAAACCATTTTGTTTTACATCATGGCCGTTTGTTGAACTGGCTGACATTGAAGCATTCGGACCCGATGCATTGGCTTCCGTACCTCCACCGCCTTCGGATGGCGTAGTTGATGTTGATGTGTTGGAGGAAGAAGGATTTAAGCCAGAATTTTGCATGTTTAACTCTTTTAAATCGTCACCTTCGTTTTTTCTGCTACTGCTGTGTTTTGATTTTGCTGTTTCTTTGTTTCTTTTGCTTTTGCAGGGTGATTCACCTTTGATATTATTTTCTTGATTGTTTTGTGCTTGCGATACTGCCGCGCGAGAAGTAGACGCTGTTTCTGCGTCTATGGAAGCATTTGTACTGACACCTTGGACAGAGTTGCTGTTGTTCGATTCACTTACCACTGCTGCTGCTGCTGATGATGCCCCTGCTGAACGACGTCCTTTTTTGCGCGGCGGCTGGTCCTCAGATGAGGCACCAGTTGCAGCAGTTTTTTTGTTATTCCTATCAATTTTGAGTGTTCAAAAACAACACGCTTGTCAACAAAGTGTATATCTTCTCTCACCAGCTATTCGCTTTAAACACTCTCACTACCTTTCTTCACCTGCCCCACAACTGCTTTGTGAGCACGAAATAATACTTATTGTTGAAATATTGCCAGTATTAAAGTAGCTTAGTGGGTGGTGGGAGCTTTTATTGTTGAGTTCTCCTAACTGCATAAACACTTCAGAAAACAATTACAAAAAAATTAAAAAACAAATCTTTGTTTAGATATTAGAATAAAATTCATACAGATGATTTTTCTAATCATAAAGAGCTATAAACAACAAAAACATTTGATATAACAGGTGAATACAAAATTATATTTTTTTAGCATATGCCAAATATCTAATATATGTTGATATCAAATGTTGATTTTGTTAACAAAAGGAATTCATTTTTTTTTTTACAATGAGTTTCAAAAAGAACTTACAACAAATTATTAGTCTCCGTATTCTTTAATAAGCTGATAAATTGAATTAACTTGTAATTTCTACTTTCTATTTATTCGCTTAATTTTTTTTTTCACTTTGAGTTATTGCTTCTTCATACTTAATTTTCTTTTCATCTGTATTCTTAATTGCACTGAAACTTAAAACACAGTCGATTATAAGATTGATTTTCAAGCAAGTTTTTGAACAAGATATAGTTCAGTTTATTAACTTATTTTGAACAATACCACGAAATTATTAAAATATTTATAATTTCGAATTCAATTTTTATTGTGGAAAATAAATAACTCGATGACGAAACAAAGAACTGCCCAACTATTTCACACTATTTCATGCACTCGCAATGTTTAGTTGGTATATATGTGCGCAAACATATATTGTAGAGTTGCATATTTTAGTACTTTTCTACACTTTTCGTGAACTGTAAATAGTAGGTCTGTTCCACGAGCTGCTCGTAGTAAAATTCAAGTAAAACACAAGTAAAGTACAAACTGAGAGCGTAACACCAATATATTGCCAAATTATGCTCTTTACACAAATTTTCATGGCACAACTTTGCGTAAAATCTGGTGAGAACACCAGTGCCGCGCAAATAAATAATAGAAAAATTTAAATTCAAACCAAAACAGCTGATTCACACATCAACACAAATTTTACTTTAAATAAAAGTAAAGTCTGTGTAACACTTTCAAATTTTGCAGGAATGTTGCGCTCTCTCAGATGCTCTCATTTACTCGAAAAACTGGAACGAACTTGTGTATACACAGTGTTACTTAAAGTTACTACAAGTAGCTCGTGGAACAAACCTACTATATGCACTTTCATATAGTAGAGTTTATATATACAGCACAGTTTATATATTCTCGCAGTCAAATTTTAATTGACTATACGCATATTATAATATGCATATATTATTTATTGCATCATAATAGTGATTATCTAATAACATGTTTCCATTGTAGCCAAATCAACTTATATTAAGGACGTGTGAGAGTTAGGCTAAGTTGATGCTAAACCAAATGGGAATTTTCTTAGGATTTTTTGCACTGCACATATTTAGCCACTTAGCCCTAAAAAGTGTGCGAGTTACATTTTGACAGCTTATATCAGCTGTGAATATGTTTTGGTTTCAGTATTTTGTTTACATATTTAGCAATAACGGAGAACGCGCAAATTGATGAAGCATTTTTATTTATGCAATTTTTCGAATTAATTTAATTAAATAATCATCATAAGATATTAATAAAGAGATTTTTAGAAGAATATCCAAAAGTAATTATAAAATAATTTCAGCAAATAACATAAATTACCAGTTTGACTATTTAGCGCGAGCGTTTATGCCAAAGTGGATATGCTTTCGAAATATTTAGAGCTTTTGTAAAAAAGGATAATTGAAATTTTTTCACCAAATGAAGAAACTCGTTTAGACATTCTCAAAATTTATTCACGTAAAAAGTATAAAATTTAAATGAGTTGCGATATTAAAAAAAAAGTTTTAAACATCTATATATATGTGTATTATTAACTATTTATTTTATTTAATAAAAAAAAGCCTTTCAAAAAAATTTTTATTTATTTACTTTTTGAATGACAAATTTTAATCATTTCCCTTTAGGGAAATATATGTTGCATTCAACAATTTTATATAATTTCACTTATGCTATGTTCAGACAGCCAAATTTCCTTATACTATGTTTAGACAGCCAAATTTCCTTGATTTTGTAAAGATGAAATTATGTTAATTTCGAAAGTGTTCATACTGCTCCAAATTATGGAAATCATGTTTTTTGTTTACAAATCCAATGTTAAAAATGACATTCAGTAGTTCTATTATTATTTTTCACTCAATTTTAAATTAATATCAGTTACAGTTTTTTTTTTATAACTTTAAATTTATCTTACGCATAGTTGCATTTGAAATTTCCCCTAATCTCAGCCTTTGAAATTAAACGCATTTTCCTTAATTTTGTTCTGACATTGAAACTGAGCTTGGTATGGAAAAAAACAACTTAATTTCGCTGAAACGACGATGAAATTACGATTTTTACGAAATAAAACTGTGTCTGATCATAATATTTATTTTTTCTTAACTAAATTGATTTGCACAGAAGCCTATGAAAGAGGCTTTCTTATGTATCAGAAAGTTCTTTGTTTAAATAAACTTCATCGTATAATATATCACAAAAAAAATAAATTAAACTTTTAATTAAACAATTAAAAGATATATATTATATATATCCATAGCATATTCAATTAACAAAAAGAAAGATTTTATTAAATACTTACTTCCTCAAGCGTTTGTTTATAGCTCAGTTATTATTTGTTTAGATTTTACATATAAAACATATGACATGTTTTATATATAAAATTTCCTAGGGATTTTTTGTACTGCACTTATGTAAATATTTATTTATTGCACTTATTTATTATTTCTTTTATTATATAACGGTAATATCTAATTTACATAATTTTTACCTAATTTACCCTACTCAAAATTTTGGTGAATAGTAACATTCGCTGTCATACTGACATAATTTACTATTTCCTTCAATTTACTCGAACTCGTATACGGTCATAGTCGGTTTTGTTTTTTTAGGATTATAACTTTTATTTCTATATGTATATTTATATGTATATTTCTATATATATTTCGGCATATTATCTCTTGCCTTTATTAGGAGCATTTCTGATATTAGGAACTTGCGAATTCGCCTAAATACGTATTTAAAATTACTAAAACAAACGTTCGAACTAAATTTTCAATTCTAAAAAAACAAAAAGACTTTACGTAAAAAAATTTCATCGTAACGATTCAAAAATTAAAAATAATATATAACAAATATTTCAAATTTTTGTAATTTCCCTTGTGGGAAATTTATTTTTAAGGGTTGCATTTGATATTTTAGGTCCAATTTTCCTTACTCTATTTTTAAATTCAAAAGCACGGAAGCTCTGTATGGTTAAGGAAATTTACTTAGTAAGTTATAGACATGATATAGACAATGCTACATGTATGCACACTAAGTATGCAGATCAAGTATGTCCTTTGTTATACACTTTAAAAGAAGGTGTAATTTTACCGATAACATGTCTTCAGACCGAAATTTGCTATGCATACTTGAATATACACAGTGCAATTTGGTAGCATGGCATATTTGATTTTATCATTGTCTATATCATGCTTAAGCAGTAGAAATATGGTAGAAATCAACTTTATTGGCGACCTAAATGAAATAAACTACTTTAATAAAGGTAATGAAAACATAGTATGTTACATTATACATTTTATAATATATGTATACATTTTATTTTAATTTATTATTTGGAACGCATCCTTAAATAATGGTAATCATTCACAAATTATCTCGTTCACAGAAGGAGAAAACTTATTTGGATGAATTTTGTAAAAAAATTAAATTTATGTAGAATTTCACACATCAAAATTCCATGTAATACGATTAATATTGTTATGCCTAATTGAACATATGTTAAAATTTCACTGGCTGTAAAACAACTAAACCAGGTACGCTTCCTAAGAAATGAACGAATTACCTTACCTGTACTACAACAACAACATACCTAATTGACCAAAAAAGTGTTTCAAATCATGTTTAATTTTATTACATTAAATGCGCGAGAGTTTTTTAAATCCAGTATGCTTTATTTTTAAACACATTTTAAATTACTATTTAAATAAAATAGGGTATAATGCATTTTTATCCTAAATTACATTATTAAACATTGACATGCATTATTTCCTCCTCTGATGCAGCTGACAGATTTATAAACATGTTTACAAATACATATTTTTAATTTGCTATGTTTACCTATATACGTAATTTCATATAAATACTTGCCAATATACAATAGATTTAATTGGTTTTGATAACTTAACATTTGAAAACATACAAATCCATCCTGCATTACCTTTTTCGTTTATCAAACAGTGAAATGAGGAAGATTTTTCTTTTACACTTAGGTAAGCTAATTTACATATAAAAATAAAAATAGCTTTGAAAAGCCTTCAATCATCTATATACAGTACATTTTTTTTTACAAATAGTTTAATATTATATTTAACAAAATTAAAATATGAATCTATAATAATTAATATATAAATGTCATATTTCATATCTAAACGTAGTTCTTAATTAATGAATTTTTCAAAATATGCAATATTTTTGCATTTTATTATATTGATAGAAAATAAATATTTACAAATAAAAATTTTTATTAAAACGTAAAAATTAAATAATATATATTTTGCAATATATATTCAATATTATCCTAAAATGTGTTAAAATAAAAGATAAAGATAAATTAATAGTTCTATACTTGTGTTTAAAACGGATGAGTAATAGTTAAAGATGTTATTTAAGCAGATTGTACATATAATGTGTTATGTACCTTTTTACTCAAAATAATAGAATATGTAAATATAATTGTATTCTAAAATATGCTATTTATTATGGAACATATGCTGCTAAGCAACAGTCGCATGGGTGGCATGCTGATAACTTATTGCTGTGGGCATAGTTTCCTGTTGTTCTCTCAATTGTCGTCGTCGTTTCTTACTCCAAAGCTCATGACAATCTTGCCATGTAGGCAACTGAGGCGTGGGCATACTAAAAAAATATTTAATTAAATATGCTATATAATTTTCAATTTAATAACACATACTCATCAGGGTTTATATTCTTCAGCCATACTGATTTTAATGCATCTTCTGCTGTTATACGCCTATCAGGATCCAGCTCCAACATTTTGTCAAGTAAGTCTAATGCAGGTGAGGGCATAAACTCAAAATCTTCTCTTAAACGTCGTCTGTATATTTTCTTTTGCTTTAGTGTATGAAAAAGTGGCAGTTTAATAACATTTGGCCATACAGCAGGAACAGGAGTACCACATATTTTTGAAATCGTTTCAAGTTGGGCCATTTCAGCATTAGCTTGAAACAGTGGTCTCTTCAAAAAAAGTTCACCTAAAATGCAACCACAAGACCAAACATCAATTGCAGGGCCATATCTTTCTTCACCTAATAATAACTCTGGAGGTCGGTACCATAATGTTATAACTTTATTTGTATAGGGACGTTCGCGATCATCTGCATTGTATAATCTTGCCAAACCGAAATCTGCAAGTTTCACTTGCCCTCTAAAAAATTTAAATATTTATAAGCAAAAATCGGAAAACCTTTTATACAAAGTACTTACTTATTATTCATTAATATATTTGAGCATTTTATGTCCCTATGCAAAAAATTTTTTTTATGGCAGTAGTTCAATCCATTTAACAACTGCTTCATAATGCTTGCATTATTCTCATCGTTAAATACAACCATACCGGATTCTAAAAGTCCCATTAAATCGTGGTCCATATACTCGAAAACTAAATAAAACGACCCTTTGTCTTTGCGAAACTCCAGCGCATCTTGTTTGTCAGTAACAATTTCGTGTAAATTAACAATATTGGGATGATTAAGTTGACGCAAAATCTTTATCTCTCGTACAGCAGTAATTGGGAAGCCTTCTTTCTCATGTTCCAATCGTACTTTTTTTAATGCCACCATTTCATTTGTGTGATTATCACGTGCCTTATAGACCTAAATTGAAAAATCAGAAATAACGGTTTAAAATAAATAGTTTCAAAAATTTGATGGCTTCGCTTCTTGTACGTTTGGACACATTAATTTTAATTTAAGTACTAAAACCTTTAATACCGAATACTTTTAAATCACATACCTGTCCATATGTTCCTTCACCAATCTGGGCAATCATTTTAAATACATCTACACATCGTTCACCCCAGTCGCGTACATTATTTCTGGAGTCCCTGCGATTTAATATAATGGGACGTTTTTGTGTAATTGTATTATTGTTATTTGGCGTATTATTGCTATCGTTTTCATTTCTACTAACAACATTTGCAAATGCATCGAAATCTTCCGGACTATTTATTATTTCATCACCACTCAGATCTTCACTACCCGGCACCATTGGAGGCATAGGTAAATTTAATATGCCTTTATTAGACTTACTACTACTGGAACAAAGTTTTTTTGCCGCTGCTCTTGACGTTGTTGGCGGTGAGCTGTAGGGTTCTGGTGGGGACGGTGTCGGCACGTTTACCAAATCGGCCGCATTTATTCCGGGTGGCATTGGCAGTGCCGTAAGACTTTTCGGTTTTGATTTCATTTCGTTTTTAACCGTATTATTAGGTACTACCGTATTATCAATTTCATCAGTACCCTCTTTTGTATTCTTTTTCTTCGGTATCGGAATGTTGTTTATGTCTAACACGGGTTTTGGAACTGTTACATTACTTAAACCATTGGGCTTAGTATTTACAGTATTAGCTTGGTCTGTTACTACTACCGTCGGAGTGCTCACATCCACGGAGGAGCTATTATCATTGATAAGTAGTGCGCCGTTACTATTACTGTTTTCTTCTTGACGCTCTATAATTTCCTATAGCATAAATAAAATTAAACAAAATTCACAAGCTTAATATATATGCCTTACCTGTATTGCCTTATTACGTTTATGTTTATCTTTCACCAATTCAGCAAATAAACTAGTTTCACTAATTTTTTTACTGTACTCTATTCGTTTTAGTTTTATATCTCGAGAAGTTGGAGAAGATGATCGAGAATTTGAACGACTGCGTGAGCTATTGGAACGTGAACGTTTCCTTCTACTGCCATAGCGGGAAGATGATCTATGATGTCGATATGAAGATGGTGAGGGTGTATCATAATAGCGGGAACGAGATCTTGAGTAACGCTCTCTTTTAGAGGAACGCGAACGTGAAAAGCGGTCACGCTTTGATGATCGTGAACGTTCTGGTGATGGTGATGCAATTAAATATTTGCTTTTATTGTAGTTGGTACGATAACTACTTGAGTGAGGAGAATGCCGATTTCGAGCAATGCTTGGACTTCTATAATATAGAAAGGGTGTAAAGGGAATATATATAAAAATCTGTGAATTGCATTTTGTTTTTTACCTCGAAAAACGTTTTGTGTACTTTTCTTTACTGCAAGAGTAACGATCATATTCAAAATTGCGTGTACTTCGGGAATTAGAGTGCATATACCGCCCTTGTTCATATATTGTTGATGCAGAACGACTATCATTCATTTTTCGGCGTTTATGTGGCGGCGTTGTAGCTTGATGATGGTAGCGTTCTGAAATTGCGATTATGAATTTATATTTTGTAAAATTATTGTATGGTTTTACCTGGAGAAACACCTTTATATTTTCTGCTATCTTGCGATGTTACGTGGTGTCTAGCATGATAATGGTGATTATTAGCACTACTAGATTTTGGGGGGCTGCCAATATAACGTGATCCACGGATATCTCTTGACGAACCAGAACTTGTATAAAGAGGAGGCGTATGAGGTGATGTTGCATGATAACGTCCTTTATTATTTGTTCGTTGTGGAGTGCGATGCCTACCACTACCACGATTTGTAACAGTCACCTGTAAGCCACCTCCCATTGTGTTTATTGTCGAAGATGAAGTGCAGCCTGCTGTCGATGTTGTACCACCTCCAGTACTTACAGAAGATATATTTACTGAATCTGCATAAAAACTAGCGTTGCTATTAGGACGTCTAGGAGGAGTATCAGTAGATAAAGGAGTTCTTTCTTTTATAGGCGTATACGAGGAAGCAACTCCACTTGCAGATCGAACAGGACTTTTTAAAGGTAAATCTTCAAAGGAACGTCTAGTAATTGGAGGGGGAGTATAATTTCTACTATTCTCGACAATTTTTCCAAAGCCGTTATCAGATAAAGATTCTATACTTGAAAATGACTTTTGTCGCTTCTTTTTTCTTTTTTTGGACTTTTTGTTCCTCTTATGCTTTTTGTCTTTTTTTGCTTTTTTCCGTTTTTGTCTTCTTATTTCTGCTTCTAATTCATCTGTATCATAGGTATCACTAGAGCCAAAATCATTTAAATCTGTTTCAGCTTCAACGTCATTATGTTTTTGTTGAGGTACTGAAAAAACATACATATACTTGTGTTTATATTTTAAATTTGATTTAAAATTACCAGTTGTAGTTGTTTCGATTTTTTTATTAATTTTAGTGACAGTGTTTTGCTTTGGTTTATGTACTGGAGAACCAAGAATTATCCTTCGTACGTGGCTTGGTGATAGCGTTGCTAAGTTGTCCATACTTTCCTTACGTTTTTTTCTGTAATCGAATAAAAAAAATGTGAATAATTTTTTTTCATGGTTACAGAGCAAATACCTACCTAATAATAGTTTCGAATATATTTGAACTTTTAGCATTAAAATATATAAAAAGTATAATATATTGAAAATAACTTATCTACGTATTATATTTTCAATGACAATAAAATACGTTAACTGCACGAAAGTAATTTTAATACTTTTGTATGATTCCATAACAATGTAATTAAAATTGCTTTAAAGTTTTTAAAGTCAAACTATTAAATAAACCACTTCGTGCAAGTTTACTAAATTTTATGTAGAATTACATGAATTTAATTAATCCACATACCCATAATTTTCGTCGTCGCTGCTTATGTTGTTATCTGTTTTATGACCACTCATATGTATTATGGATCGCCCGTCCTTGTTCTTTTTATCCGAAAAATAAGAATTATCCTTCGGCTTCATTGTTACTGCGGCAGGATCGATTTCTCGAGATGGGTCCGAATTAATTTCTCCAGCTTCAGAGTCGGAAAAATCTTCTGAACTGACATCAGAGTACTCCACGATGGCATTTACGCTCATTGCATTAGTTATTATAAAATTAGCACCGTATTTTTAGTCTTTCTTACAACGGATATGCCACAAGTATTACAATGTTGAAATTAACTCCTCTTAATTATACCTGAACTGTATTAAGATCTAATTTATCGTTCACAGTCGTACGTATTCACTTATTCAAATATATTTTTTTTTATGTTAAAAACACTGCATTTTCATTAAAATATATTTGCCATTTTAGTGTAGGTACATACTTTTACATTCTTGAAGATTACATGCGTTATTAAAGCATACAACACATTTTTACTCAAATAATATTTTTTATCTTTCAATAAATCGCAAAAGAAAAGTGTTAAATTTTACATATAACTTCAAGCTTCAATCTGAGTGTATTTATACTTCTGTAATTTTTCCCAACTATAATTTCCAAAAAAAATATACATATATAACTTGTCATATCATTTTTTCAGGTTAGTGGTAGCTAACAATTGACACTTTTCTGAAAGTGTTACAAAATAACAAATTTCAGGTAGTATATTTTTTAATTATATGTTAAGGTATTTAAGAACTGTAATTAAGAACTATTGTAATGTTTTTTCCAAAATATTAATATATTTTATTTAATAATAACATTCATTAAAAATATTTGAAGCAAAACGATTATAATATTATAAAAAAAACATGTACAAAAATGCAACCCTGCATCTCAAAATTCAATTAACCACATCAGCAATACTTAACCGAGTATTTAAGATTTCACTTATTATATTTGACAGGTAAAAATTGTGCTTTAATTTATGTTCAATAACCCACTTTTATTGGATGAAATAGTTATTTCGTTTGTATTTACACGTAAATCACTACAGAATATAATTTTTGTCTCTTTTAACTCACATTGCACTTTCATATATTAAAATAAATTAAATTTCAACACGTTATAAAAGTATTATATGAACTTGTTGCCGTAATAACATATTTTTACTATCTTCATACGAATTGAGCACAGCATGGAAAATATATTATAATAGAAACAATATACTTGTTTATTAAAGGCATTTCATACAAAAATTCTTTTTTAAGAACATTGAAAGTGTCTGCGGATATCATAGGTGAAATTTTTTTCCGCATAAAATATTGTCTAGTTCACAACGACATGAACCGAATGTTAAAAAGTGTGCCCTTATTAAAAATAGTAGTATATTATGAAGAATACGAAAATTACGTTTTGTTGTTAATATTGTAGGAATATTCTATTATATAAAATTTATAGTTGATGTTTTAATTGAAATTATTATTGTATACTTGTGAGTGTTATGCTTTTATATCAACACACTGCCTCTCAACCTTGCCTGAGCTATTTTTATGCTTAAATCGGTAACAATAAATTTGCTCATTTAACCGGTAATCAGCAAAATGAGACAAACAAATAAGATTAAAGTGTTATTCAAGAATATGTCAATAGGAACATAAAACAGAAAAACGACTATGCTTGATTAGGAAAAATTCTAACGAGTTGTAAAAAACTCATTAAGTCTGGTTGAAAAAAGTTGGTATCACTTTTAAAATATGTTAAATGCTTATTTTTGACATATGGTTTTGGTGGTGTTGTACACAATATGATATATAAAAATTGTAAACACTAAAAATTAATTAATTTAAATAAAAGAAAACAAAATGAATATTAGAAGGACAATGGTTAGCATTTTCATCAAATATACTTAAATTAATTTACTTATTTATGTATTTGAATTTATTACCAAATGAAATGCTTATATGATTTTAACAGATGACTAGAATTTTGCAACATATTTCCAGTGAACATTCACAAAATTTTTGCGAGTAAAACCTAACTCTGACGATTAGCACACTATAAAAAAACAAAAACACAGAAATTGCAAATATCGTAAAAACTTGAAATTAAAAATTTAAAAATTATTAAAAGTAATAAAAATTTAAAGACAACCTCAGAAAGAACAAAACCTATTCTTGACATTTCTAAAATTTGATTTTGTTTGCAGACGTGTTTTCCACAATGTTTCGAGGTCGCATTCTTTTACACGAAGGCAATTTTTAAATGAATGGCTTGTTTTACAAAAATTATTTGAAAGTATTTTAGTAGTGGATATATTACAAACTAGTACATAATTATCAATCTAGTTGCGAAAATAAGTTAATTGAAAAAGCGTGGACATATTTGAACTTATGATTAAAAATATTAAGTTAGCTTTCAATAGAATTCATTTCATATCTTTTTATATCTGATAGTTTCTGCACTTTGTGCACTTTTTTTTAGCAAACGAAACAAAAATTTTTAGAATTGTTTGAATTGTATATCAATCTGTACGACTAATTTAAACAAACCATTAATGTGTCCAGATCAACACATTTCTTTCGTTGAAATTCATTAATTACTAAATTTACACAAGAGTTTGTTTGTAATTTTAGATGTCAAAAATTCTCATTTTGCATTGAAATCAACAACAATTGATAGCTAAAACTATAAACATGACTGCTAAAATGACAAACAGAAGTCTTCTGTGAATCCAGTATAATGTGTTGACTTCAATATAACACACAATTTAACATCAATTTATTTTGTGTATTTAATATCGTTATTTTTTTAAAGAATGAAAGAGGAATATTAATTTACATACTGCAGTATGTAGTAGGAAGTTATTGTGTGAAAAAATATTTTTATGATAATATATGTAAGCAATTATAAATTTAAAGTTGTTATATTATGTTATGTTTTGCCTAAATAGTTATTGATAGAAATAAATATTTAAATAAAAAAAAACGAGTTTTTTCCCCTTTTTGCGATTTTGCATTAAGATGTTTATCATTTTATTACTTATAACGTATTTACACTGTCTCATTTAGGCGGTTATGCTCATTAACGTCGCTAATGAGTATGATTTTTCATACAAATTGTTATTATATAAATGAGTTCATTATCAATAAATCAGGTTGCATACGACAATAAAAGTCGAATTTTTTTAATTATATAAATATTGTGCGATCATTTTGACAGTATTTGTGTAAATTATTGGCTTGGTTCACAAAACTTTGAAAATGCAACCAAGGCTCAGATGATTTGCAGATATATCAAGCAGATTGATAGAAATAAAATATTTAGATATTTTTGATTTTCTGATTTAAATTGAATTAAAAATATTAGAGTGTAGCACGTATGTTGAAAATATTTTATTTATTGGAAATAATAAATATTAAAAAATAATTCAGACTTTAAACACTACATTAACTATAAATGAATAAAGGCATTCATATTAATGCTATTATACCATGTTCCCACTGTAACTACATCAATTTATATTAATCAAATTATGATTTCATCGTATATTAGCATCAGTTCTTATCTCTTTTTTGCTTGTCTTATTTGTTTCCTGTTTAATTATATATTGTTTAATATGTCAGACATACCAAATTCCGATCATTTCCTTTTTGGGAAATATGTTACGCAATGTTGCTTTCAACATTTTTGGAGTAATTTCCCTTAATTTGTTCGTAACTTAGAAACCACAAAATCTCTTTATATGGTTAATTAAAACTTTATTAGCGATCTAAAACAAATAAACTGCTTCAACGAAGGCAATGAGAACATACTATAAGTGGTGTGCATATTTTGTTTGGTACTAAAATATAGCTTTTTACAACACTGCTCGTTTGATTGAAGCGTCCTCTGTTTTCGGCAGTTCTTACTTTGAACGACAAATGTTTACAAATTGTGTGTTTAACATTATTTCAAATGAAAAATATTAAAAGTATGTCATTGCACAGTGCGTTTGGTGAAAAAATTGAGGTACTTCATATCATATATATACCTTTATATATATATTTATATATATAAAAGTATTTTTGTTAAATAACATTATTATTGTAGGACTACGAAGTCCTTAACTTGTTAGGAAAAGGTGGATTTGCTAGTGTTTACAAGGCCCGTTGCTTAAAGACAAATCAAATGGTTGCTATAAAAATGGTACGTTAGAAAAATAACATTTAATTTAATATTACATTTTAATATTCTGTGTTTCAGATTGATAAGAAATTGATACAGGGGGCTGGAATGGCAAGTCGTGTTCGTCAGGAAGTGGAAATTCAATCACGATTAAAGCATCCATCTGTACTAGAATTATTCACATTCTTTCAAGATAACAATTATGTGTATTTGGTATTAGAACTGGCACATAATGGCGAACTTCACAGATTCCTGAAACATAATTTAAATCGTACAATGAAAGAATCAGAAGCAGCTATCGTATTACAGCAGGTTGTTTCTGGTCTTCTATACTTGCATTCTAATCAGATAATGCACCGCGATATATCACTCTCAAATCTATTACTTAGTAAAGATATGCATATTAAAATTGCAGATTTTGGGTTAGCAACGCAATTAAAGCGTCCTGATGAAAAACACATCACAATGTGTGGTAATATATAACATAATTAAGTTTGTGTAATAATTTTTCAATTTTTATATAGGAACTCCAAACTACATTTCTCCAGAGGTTATTTCTCGTTCATCACATGGACTTCCAGCTGATGTGTGGGGTTTAGGTTGCTTACTGTATACATTATTAGTTGGAAAACCACCATTTGATTCTGACGCAGTGCAATCTACACTGAATAAAGTAATAGCTTCTGATTTTTATATACCAGGACATATTTCACACGAAGCGCAAGACTTAATAAGAAAACTACTCAAGAAAAGTCCTCTTGAACGCATAGGTCTCACGCAAGTATTAAAACATCCATTTATGATCCGATATATGTATCCAACAGCTGCTGGATCGGCTGCTGCTGTAAATTGTATTAATCAGAGTACTACAAGTAGCGATAGTGGGATAGTTACTTTTTCTAGTAGTATGTAAATTTTTATTTGACAACTGACATATTTTATTGTATATATTATATATTTTTTTAGGCAGTTCTAGTTCATCACGCCCTCATGTAATTTCAATGAATGGATATTCTCATAAACCTTCAGAAAATCGAAATGATAATCAACTAAATAATAATAACTTCAATGTGCCGGTTATTCAAACACATTTTTCGGAATGTGATAGTATGGACTTAGATTGGCAAAAGCCATCCCAAATGCACTCAGTAAAAAAAGAAAAAAACTATGTGCTTGGAACATCTAATCGTAATGAAAATCAAGAAAATAAATACTTCAAGGCTTTAGGTACAAATATAGATATAGAGACTACTCCATTCATGATCCCTGGTATCCCAACCACTGGTACTGCAAAAGAAAACAATTGTATAATTAAAACCCAAAAAGTAGTTGATGAATGTATATCAGTTCCTCCTTTGAATACTACCAGATTGCTTGCTACACGTTATAAAACAAAAAATGCTATAATGAGTATTTTAGATAATGGAGAAGTGGTGATCGAGTTTATTAAATATAAAAATAAATTTAATGAAAATCGCATCACTGACATTTGTCGAATATCCTGTGATGGCAACCGAATAATAATATACCAACCCGATCCCGGAAGGTAAATTTTATTATATAATTGCAATTTTTAAGAATAATTTAATATTTAATATTTTTAGAGGGTTGCCTATACGGGAACAACCCCTTAATACCTCAGACATTGGTGATAGCTTTACGTATAGTTATGAGAGTTTACCCACAAGACATTGGAAGAAATATGTGTATGCCTCACGTTTTGTAAATCTCGTTAAAAGTAAAACACCTAAAGTTACATATTTTAGTAAACAAGCTAAATGCCATCTTATGGAAAGTATGCAAGACTTCGAAATATCTTTCTATTCTGGAGCTAAAGTTACACAATCATCTTCGGAAGATTTAAAGGTTTTTGATCAGAATGGGAAACAATTGTTTGATTTTAAAAATTTAGAAGCAAATCAATTACTTGAACATTATAGAGAATGTTTAGAACATTGTAAAACTGTTTGCAATGCTTTAGAAATATTGAATTCTGGAAGTAATAGCTGTTTTCCTGTAATTATCGGGCGCCGTCCAAGCAATGAGATAAAAAAGGAATATATTGCGACAAATTCAACAAATAGTAACATAAAGTTTGCATTCTCCACACCAAAGTCAGAACAGGTATTCTGTTAAATAAAATGTGAAATAAGTATACATATAATAACATTTTTATTGTATGTAGGGTTCATTTAATTTTACAGTAAGCACAATTTCATCAACGCGTAATGAACATTCTTATGGAAACACACAATTAACACATGAGGAGATACGTGCAGCCAGTCAAAATATTCCGATTAAATGCGTAAACATACCTGGAATTGGTATTGCAACGGAGGTAATACTTTATTCTTGAAAATATAAATCTAAAATCTTTAATCAATCTTTGTCTTTTTCTTAGTTATCACATGGTGTTATACAAGTACAATTTAATGATGGATCACTAATATCTATCATACCAAGAGAGCACGGTGGTGGATTCACCCATACACAAAGCAATGGTATTTCTACCCATTTTGGTATACATGACGAACTGCCATTTTTGGTTAGAGAAAAATTATCAGCACTGCCATTGATTGAATTACAGTTAAAAGATGCTCCTTTATTAAGTCGGCGTTTAAATGATAATTATCAATATTCCGCTCTGAAACCGAAAGTAATTGCACCGCAACCACTAAGTAACTCACCTATGAAATTTTTCCGCTAGACATATGCATATTGATTTATCATCATATCTTTATTTTGGACTTATTATTTTTTAAAATGTACACAGTTCTTTATATTTTAAATATTTATTTTTTCATTCCCATGGAAATGATTACTATCATTGTATTTGCATATAGTGTTTATTTTATATAATTATTTGCATATTTTTGATATAAACGTTTTAATTTAGGATTAAAATAAATATAAAACAAAGTTATATGTACAACAAATTTTACTAAATAGAGCAAAATCTTTATATAAAGTAAAATCAACATTTTATAACGGCAAACCTCTGATATTTATTTATTATAATTTAAATATCATAGTTAAATACTTACGTATTTAAGGTTTTCTTTATATAGAAAATCAGTTATGAAAAATACGTTTCATAATTATTTCAAAATTTATTGCTTATTATAGTTTAAACATTAGGTAATAATTTTATATATATGTATGAAGTATTTTAACTTAATATTTTTAGTAAATTATATAAGTTCATTTACTATATAAGATTAAATAAAAATTTATGCTTCCTAAAAGTGACAAGTATATTGTCAAAAATATACCCTTCATAGTTTATATAGCTTATATTGTAAAGGTATAATATTATATTTTTAAATAATTTTATTAGTAAATAGAATAAAATATAAAAAAATAAAATAATTTTTCTAGTTCGTTGATTGTAGATTTACATATGGAATGGAATAACCATTAAAAATATGTTTCTTATATCAAACCATTAAGAAAATGATTTTGTTACATTTATATAAATATTTAATATTGATCGGTTCCCGAGATCGTATTGCTTTAAGATTAATCAATATCTACAATTGATTATGCATATTTATAATATCTTAATGTATAACGAAAAATAATTAATTTTATTATTAATTATATAATTAATAATGAGATATAATTGTACTTATGTTAGTTTAATGTATATTGTTTTTGACAATACTAATTGTAAACTTTGACGGAAAAAAACTAGTTAAATGGACGAAGTTCGCAATTTAAATTTATATTATATATAAAAATGTATAATATTGCTATTTAAGTTAAGGATGAATGATAGATTAATTTAGTATAAGTTAAATGAGTTTATTTTTTTATTTTATGTTTTTAATGCAGCTTTAATTGCATTACAATAATTTAATTATAATTTAATTTTAAGCAAATATTTGCAATTCAGAAGAATTCATTTTGAGCAAAATGTGACAATAATTGTACATATATATTTTGTGTGTATGTATTAAAAATAATATTTTTGCAGAATGTTGTATGAAAAAGCACTAAATTATTAAAACTTTAAGTATTGTTTATAAAATAAGTATAAATGAACTTTTACAAAGTAATAAATAAAAAGACTTAAACATTGATTCATATTTCAATTATGTTTATTGATAAGAAATGATATTTAATACAGAAACAAATATTCCTTAAAGTACTTAAATAATAGTAAAATAAAGAAATTAAAATATTTTAAAATTAATTATTACTTCTAATAAAGTTAGTGAAATGTTTCGGTCGTCAGCTAGTTAATGTTAATTTCGTCTTTATCACATCTTACTACATTATGATGTATATAATGCAGGTCTTAAGACACGATTAACTTAATGTTTGGATATTGGTGAAGTATTGGGTTTGTATGAATGAATGTAAATGAATGTTTTTTATCCATGAGGACTAATCTTTCATTTGGTTTCCACATGTTGTTGGTATTTTCTAATACTAATAGTGGTATTAGTGTTTTGTAATTATTATGTCCGTCTGTTTTTGGTGGCAGATAAAATGTACTGAAGATGAATTTTTCTTGTTTAATTAATTTGATATAAATAAACTTCAAATTATTGTTAATGTAGATTAGACCGAAAATTGTGCTATTATTAAATACACAAATAAACTTATTGGTTTCTTATAAAGTTATTTAAATGAAATTAGAACGAACTTATACGTGCAGGATGAAAATTATTTTTGTTTCCTTAAAAGAGCACCAAATTTTGATACTAATTTTTCATATATTAATTTAAAATATTTTTCATAAAAAACGATATGTTTATATTCCTTGGTATTGTATTAACTTAAAAAAATAAATTAATAACTAAATTTATTCAATATAATTAAAATACAAACTAACATAAGAACTAAATTCTAAATTTTATAAAATAATACATGAAGAGGCTGTAATGTATATTAAATAAAAAGTCAAATGATTGCTTTCGTTTAGTATCGTTTTTGTCTGTATTTCTGCTATTTGATATTGTTCCCTATTTTTATTTTTCCTTAAGCTCAAAATGAATCTTCTGAAATATGTCCTAGAATCGATCTTTCGATGTTGCACTGTACTCTAGTTCATTCAAATTTTGGATTTCCTGCAGTTCTTGAAACTTTTCATGATCCCGAATTTTTGAATAATTTGCCGCCAAGCACATCAAGTAATGCACTAAACTTAGTATAACTAAGAGTGTAGCAAGAGTAGCTAGGATGAACATGACCTCAGCATTTTCCACTCCGTCCTTACAAAAGGCCTTGATTTCATATTTCTCACAAATTTTCATATCTTCTAATTTGGTTTGGGGTGGAAACATAAAATCTGTAAGAGTTTAAAAAATGTTTTGATTATAATTGAGTTTAATTTAAATATATATATATATATACCAAAAAAATTTATTTTAAATAAATTATTATTAGCATATTTGAATCGTTTAAGATAAACAATTTAACTATAAGCCTAAATGACTTCTAGACCTCCCTGAGGGAGTCAGAGTCATAAATTATGCAGACGACTGCACAATCTTTACGATGTGCCAGCACCCCTCTACATTGTGCAATGAATTTAATATATTCTCGTACCTCCCCTATGTGGCATTGTTTTTGTTTGATAGAAATCTTCACCTACCACCACATAAATCCACAAGTACCTTCTTTACTTCCTCAACTAATGAGGTATTCATGACTCTGTCTATTAATATGGGTTCAGGATGCCCACCACCACAAAATCTAAGAACCTAGGTATCGTTCTCGACAGTATTTTGATTAATCGATTAAAATTTCACAATAACGTGTTAAAAGCACTAGCAACTTGTTCTTAGAAAAAAGACAAAGAAACCCTACTGAGCACATACATAACTTTTGCGCTTATGCAGCTCCAGTATGGACACCGCAACTCTTCGAGATGCAATAGACTAACATCCAAGCATGTTAAAACACAGAACTTCGGATTACAGCTGGTTGCCGTCGCATGCCTTCATGCGAATTCGAAACTGTTTCTTATAAAAGAGCATAATCAACTGTTGTCTAAGAAATACCAAGTCGCGTGCAACACAGATGGACATTCTAATGGCGCCATATTTAGTATAGCCTTTCTTGCATAATGCATTCTTCCATCCCTTGCGAAAATCTGGATTCAATCTAGATTTACTTCATCTGTTAAATTTTGTTGCCAATTCTAACATCTTTAGGGTAATCTAACATTACCCTAAAAGTGTTAGTAGACATTTATATTTGTTATAATTACATACATATATTGAATCAAATCACACTTTATTTGTATAGTCATACAAAAAAGTTGTTAATTTCAGGGTAATCTTGCTAGTCTGGCTATTCTGTATAACACTCGAGAAAAAGTTACTCCAGTTTTACCGATAGAAAACGGCATAAGTGTAGCTTATGGTAAACTATATTATTCTTAATAAACCTCAAGTTTGTTTTTCGGTAGACTTTTGTTAATATCATGTATTTTGGTTGATATTGAAAATGGATCACTCTTTTCCACTTTTTTCCCAAATCTTGGCACATGAATTCTGCTCTTTATGCTCTTTAGTTAGGAAACAGTTAGTTAGTTAATCATGAAATCATTTTCTGCAATTATTATCTATGGGTGCCCCTTGATATAGTTAACCAATTAAAATTATACCTGAGTCAAGTTTTAAATTTCCGGATTAGATTCTTCAATCGCACATTGCGTATATTAGTTTTTTTATAATATTGATCTAGACAATCTATGCTCATAAAACTATTTACAATTTAAGTTTTGTCTATTAATAAGTTAGTACAAGCTAGAATATTAAACATTATTTTTATAAAAATATTCTTCAAATAGTGCTAAAATCGTTTAGGTTATTTGTTAAGATGTTTGTAATGCTTTTTCTGCGAATATCTGCAATTTCCTTAGCAGCAACGTTATTAATTAATTCTGTAATAAACTAACTACTGCATTCCGAATACCAAGAACCAATTGACGGACCTGGAAACTGGGCTATTAGAACCACAACCCAGTTACTCACAACGCAATTGATGGGTGGCTAGACAGCTTTTGCTACAAACGTTTGAGTCAAACCATGAGTATACGGTAACCGAATCCCATAAGTAATGTTGGACTATGGAGTATGACCAGTGATATATCCAAGGAAGAGAGGATTAGTGGATAGACATATGCTTAATACTATAATCTTCAAATAACACACTACAGAAACATTGCAAAAAAAAAAAACATTCTGTAATATATATCCACGCTTTGACACAATCTTGGGAGCGCCACTGAATGCGTTTAAATACTGATTCCTGAAGAAATATATAGAGTGTGATTTTGATTTCGCGATTACACTAACAAAGATTTTACGTAGAGTCAACATTTTTGAGTAATTTTTTTCCCTTTGTAATGGAGTTGTATACATTTTCTCTTGTTCACACTAACAAAATCCAAGTGCAAATAGTCTATACGTGTTTTATATTTATTGCATGAACAACGGTTAACAACAAATAGACGTGCTAGATATCCCGTTTACTTATTGTGGGTCGTTTTCATGTAAACGTTTTCATAAAGCTCGTTTTCATTTCTAATTTAAAAGCTTTATATCTTGTAAATTAAGTTACTTTGACATATAGCGTAATGAAAAAAATAGCTGTCAAAAATTTAATAACATCCGTGGTCAAATGAGTGTTGCCGGAATTTCGGAATCATGCCATATATAGACATAAATGCGGTTGAATCGGACATTCTGACAGCAGACTCAGTGAAAACTTTGCAAAACAAAATCTTAGACGTTAATTTCTTTAAATTACTCCTGGAATGACCTCAATTGTGAGACCGGTACATGTTCTGTGCTAATCACTCCCAGAATAATTAGATAATTTTTTTTTTTGAATTTGATTTTATATTTATAGTAAGTACCTGCTTTTTCTTTGTTTCAGATAAATAAAACTTGAATTAGAAATTCGTTTAAAACATTCATTGAAGATGCCTTAAAAACTGAACAATTTGGTGATACAACCAATTTGGCTATACAAATTTTAAGGTTAATATTTCATAACTAACATATTTATATTAAACTCTTCAGAAAAAACTACATTTGATTACATCCATACAAAATTTATTTAATGAAAACATAATACTTACGAAATTGAGTTAGGTCAATACAACTAAGAGATCGTTCCACACTTGAGCACATATTCCAAAACATGGTATATATGAAGGTGACTATAACCAGGAAGCACAAGATTAAAATCCAAACGAAGTTTAACAAATACGTTAGTCCCATAAGCTGTAAAATAAATTTCATTATAGTTAATATTAATTATAAATAATTCGGTAAGATTAGGCAGCAAAATAATTAAAATTGTCGCAAAATAATTTTCTCTACTAATTAAAATGGCTTCAACTTTTATATGTGAATGTCCTAGTTTTTAAATACTTTTACTAATTAACTTTAATTGTTCATAACGACTAATTAAGTTTTACGGAACAAAAACTCTGTCTTTATTCGTGATTGAGTTCTTTCATTGTAACTGCCACCGACCAAGTGAAATTTACCATCAAATATTGTCATTAACCCTGGTTTTGCAATAATTACCGTTATGTTGTTATTTTTTTTTCTTCAATAATCCATTGTATCACTTACCACTGCACATGAAATGCGTCCACCCACTCTTGAACGCCACGCTCTGTAGACTTTGTAACGTGTCGCTCCAGTTGCCAAGAATCCAACGAAGAGTATCATAAATCCAAGTGCTGCCATACCAGCGCCAATTATAACGAAAATCATTTGCACTGCTTCAATCCTGTTGAAAATCATTACCAGCGTAGGCAAAATGGCAATAAAAGAGTTGAAAAGAGTTCAGAAGATTGATAATTAATTAATTTAAAACGAAAAGAATTTTAATGGAAAAAGTTTTTTAATAAGCCTGATTGGCAATGTTTAAGATTTTGAACTTACCAAATTAAGCGTAGATGAAAAACTTGATCCAACATAATAATTGTTAATGAAGCGCCTCGGTACATCGTGCCGCAAAATATGCCAACACCCAGTAGGCACATAAGCGTTGCGATGAGGGTGGCATATGGTATTCTGGCCATACATGATTGACAGCAATCTCCTAATAGCAAGAAATCAAGTAAATAGATATATAATTGTGATTTTTAATAGATGTTAAAGCAATTAAAACAGATATTTTTGATAGAAATAATAAAAATAGAAGAATTATATAAAAAAGTCTGTTTAATATACTTATATATTTTGATTAAGTGAAGAACTACAAGCAGAGAAGAATAGAGAGTTTAGCATAGGAACTAAGGCATTTTGCTTCATTATACTTTTCTATGATATTAAAATAATATATAATACCTTTTGATAATAGATGTTATTTTTTGTTATATTTGTTTTCAGATATTTAATAATAATTAAGAGTTTAAAATAATTTATGAGATTCATATGCTTCTATTTTACCATTGATCGCATTTTTTATAATAAAATTTTGATGCAATGAACGCAATCTCATATATATAAGCTCAACAAATAAAAAATTGTAGTTACATATCATTTATATGTAGTATAAATAATTCTCATCTTTATTTTTGTTTGTTAAATTGACCGTTGTTACAATTTACAAACTAAAACTATAGAATATTCAATAACGCTCTGCTGTTCAATACAATGTCCCAAACTTGAGGCCTACACTGGCTAAACTTTGGCAAGATTTTTAAGTTCTAATACGAGTACCAGTGACGATTGCTCTAAGGTGCGGAGGTGTGCGGTGAACACCCTAACATAATTTGCAAAATGTCAAATAACATAGGTATATAAATTTATTAGGTATCTTCACATCAAGAATTATTATTAATTATTACATTTCCATATACATATATATTTTTTAAAGTTTTAGCAAAAACAATTAAATATAATTGTCTATGAAAACTCAATCAATTTGCTTCTGTTAGCTGCTATCATAGAGTATATATACTCTTTGCTGCTATACTTGTTAGGTGTGCTCATATATTTGCAGCTCAAATCACAGAACATTTCTATTTTATTTCGTCTCTCCCCTTTGTGTGCAAAGAAGTTGGCAGCACATTCATACGTTACATATGAACAAAATAATGTGCGTGTGCTCCCGTTCGTAATATCAGAGATAGAGATTTATATAGTGAGAATTGTATGAGAGTAATTTTCTGTTCTATTCGAATATCATCTGCATGCATACGAATCCAACATTATGATTTGCCAAAGTGGTTGCATGAGCGGCTTAAGTTTGCAGCTCATCTCACCATACATTTCTATCACATTTCGTCTCTCCCCTTTTAACAGCAGCACCCACGAATTTCTGTTCTTATGGTGCGGGGTACTTATGCGCACATTGCAAGTGGTTTCGATTTTGTTTGATCACTGCACAAACATGTATGTTTCTAAGTACAAACTCTTTTGTTTGAAAAAAGTTGGTTTGATGTTACGAGAATTATGTGAAATGTTTTGTTTCTTCCATATTGATATAATATTAAATTTATATATAAATTATTAATTTAATTTGTTTAATATGTTATTTTGTTAATGAATTGTTAATATAATATTGCGAATATATTGTTGCCTAATATAATATGGTTATTATTAATAAAACATCTCATATATTTTAATTTAAGTGGTACATGTAAAAAAAACATTAAAGAAGAGCCGCACACCCTTCCAAATAGGGCACGCGTCGTCACTGACGAGTACATATTATTTTCCAATTTGTACATGCAATGAAAAAGTAAGATCATGTGCAAATATCTTGTTAAAGTCTAGCTAGTGTAAACACATGGTAATTGTTCGACCATTACTCAACTCGAGTAGTTCGATGTGCTCAAGCACATTCAAAATATTATAAGCTTTGATTAGTTCGAAATATGTTTAAAGCACTTCTCAATGTCGTAGATAAAGATGTAGGTGACAAGATATTCGTTTTCATTAAAGTCGTTATCTGCAGTAACTTTTATAACATCAATAAATGGTAATTTAAATTAAATTAATAGCATTAATTAGAAAAAATTGAGTATTCAATTTATATTATAATTAGTTTTACGTAAATGTGAATGATATCCATTATTCAATTTATGTTAAATCTTACATTGTGAGATCATTTACGAGATATAGCAAAAACACTTAATATTTGAAAATTAATTAATTTATTTTTCTAAAATCTGTATTACTTAAAAGATTTGATAAACGGAATTATCAATGTAGCAATAACGGAATTAATCTTATATCATAAATTTACTAACCTTAATGAAATATAATTACTAATTTGAGCAATTTTCAATATACAATTTTATGAAAATAATGGAGAAATAATTCTAGATTATATTCTATCAAGAAAAATTTTAAATATATGATCGGGTTTGCTTCGATTTGATCATTGGAATGAATACTTCTAAGGTTCGAAAATGTCCATATTGCACGAAGATGTTCGAGCTATTTTTTTTCGTTAAAGTGTTCGAATCCCTTCTAATGTTCGAACATTTTGGAGCGGCTTGCTGTAAACGGGCATGATTGATATTGTGGATCATCAAAATGTTCAAAGTTTCGAACAGTTAGGATAATATTTGAAGATAGTTTTGATAGTCTTTGAAGTTTATCAGACTGTTCATCGCTGAAAACGAAAGACCTATTAAATTACCTAAATTCGGCGGCATGGATTTAGTCTCAACTCTTTCATACTAGGGTTTTTGCGTGGAATGTGGTAGCAAAAAGGCGGAAAATCACTGATTGAGGTACATGGTAGTTATCTAATGACCTGCCACTGCAACCTACCAACCAATATACCAACCAACCCTATACTAACCAATAATGATAAACATTTCATATAAACATCTATTTAATTTATGTTAGAATGTGTTTTGTCTTAATTCGTTAAGGTTTATTACTATTTACTATGGCTTTATTGCTTAAAACCATTCTTATAAGGTTTTAAGCTAACATTCTAAAAGTATGTAAAAAGTATTTAGAGGTTAAAAGTATTTAATAAGTATTTAGAGGCTAAACAGAAGTATTTTGAAAGTAAATAAATATACTTTCATACTATATTTTTTTCAAATAATTTACCTTAGATCTAATAGAGTTTACTAGACATCAAAGTTCCATGTGATGTAGTTAACTTATTTTTATAAGGTATATATCACAATACAATCGATTAACAGTAAAGCACATATACTTTTTGAAAAAAAAACCCTAATGACTTTAACTTTTAAATATTAAAAAAATTTAAGAATGTATTCGCCATTTAATTGAAAATAGAGAGGAAATCTTTTAAACTATGGTAACTATGGTCAATTTCGCAAGCGATTAACGAATGATAAAATACTAGATCATTGGTTAATGATGCTATCAATGAAGTGTAATCGGGATTTAGTAGGAGCTGTTTTGTGTCTATCGAATTGTAAACTAAATCCTGTAAACCTTTTGATTGTGAATTCAATAGAAGCAACAGTGGCAGCAGGTGTTTTGTGTGAGCTTAAGTGCGAATTAATTTGTATAAATCGAATTAAATACGTCGGAGGGGAGGGGAGGGGGGAATACGAGTCTGTTGGTAACAACTCAAACACAAAACACAGATGCAATCAATGAAATTGCAATAATCTGTGCTCAAGGCATGCTTAGGTATTCTCATGTGGAATGTTATTCCATGAGTGTGGTATGCTGGGATGTTGTTTAAGGATTAATTATTGTAGTAAAGTGTTTGTGGTTTGCTAAACTAAGCTATTAGACGCACAGAAAATCAATCTTTTACATTTTGTTTATGTAAAAAAATATATGTATATATAGAATAAAAAGATAATTTATGTTTAGGGAATTTGCAAAGCATTTAATTATCCTCATATAACATTTACAGGAATATTAAATGTAGTTTAAAACTGACTGAATTTCTTGTTATGAATTAAATTTCTTGTTAAAAATTAATTTTTTTTATAATATTAATTATTAATTACTACTACAGATATGCCATTTAATTGGTTGTTTTTCTAAAAAACACCTTTTTAAAAAATCCACATGGTTCAGGGTTTATGTAAGTCAAAAATTGATTAATTAAACAACATATCATAAAGTGGTGTACTGGTTTCACTGTGAGATTCAGATTTAAGGAGTCAAGATTTCACATAAAATATATATTTTTATCTGAATCCATTGCTGTTAGAGTAATATAAATGCATCTTGTTCTTTAAACTTCATCGCGTAGTTCGATATTGTGCTATGTGTATTGCCTGAGTCATGGTTTTTCCCAGTGAAGATTGCAATTGATCCACCAAAGAAATAGAAGTCTTCTATTTGAGTCTCTACAATTAGTTTTTCGAAGATACCAAATCATATCGCTGACAGAAGTAAATATAATTATGATAATTAAGAAGAAGATTATTATGATTATTTCCATAAACCTGGATCTTATATTTAGTACCTCAAAAACGGAATATTAAATTTCTAAGACTTCTTGATATAGACTCACTGATAGGCTTTGATCTTATCTATATTTATGATTTCATGTTTTAGAAGCATAGACTGCTATAACTACGCGCTATTATATTGCGACAATTAATTTCTTTAAAACTGTCGCCGGTGTTTATTAGAAGTTATAATAACCTATGTTATTGAACTTATCTATTATACCATACCCTGCTTTTGTCTTAACATTTGATTAGTTATGACTTATAGCAATCATGACTTTTGTTTTAAATGTGTTTATTAAGAGATAATTATTGTATCAGTAGATCAAAAAACGTTAACTTCCAATAAATTGCGTAGTCTGTATATCGGACATTATTAATTTAGTTACATAGGTATCCAATATTTTTATAAGATATCTAACTGTAAGCTTATGTCTACACTACCATAATGTTTGATATATTATTAAGTTTTATTGTTTTCTACTCTGTACATAACATACAAATAGCAATGCTAAACACTCTAAAATCTTGAGAAAAAAAAATATAAAAAAGAGTATTCAGAATATTCGAGAATTGTTCAGCGATATTTGAGGGCTAGTTAGAGTGATTCCAACTTTTGGTGTTTCGCTTAAATATAGCACTACCACACTAATATGCGTGAATTCCTATTGTGACAAAATTATTTCTA